GTTTAAGTTATAAACACAAAAAACAAAACAGATGATTCATCTAAAAAGATATATACTTCGTTGGCATTCTTGGAATTCTCAAACATGTCAAAAAAATCTCCAATCTTCAAGTCACAAAAAGAAAACTTATCGAACACATGTGCAGTCTTGAAATCGTGAAAAGGAGAAAATATCGAATACATGTGATAGGTTAAAACCCTACAAGGAGAATGTTTTGAGCAGATGCAAGCTTGATAACATATAGCTTCTAACAGATGTCTAATCTTAATACAATGAAAAAAAAGCACGTATTGAGCACATCATTAATCTTGAAACCTTGAAAAGATAACGTAACAAACATATGAAAAAATGTACATGAGGTTGATCGTTTTTTTGTGAGATATTGCCACGTAACACGCCTTAAATGTTAACACGTAATTGTATTCACTTATGAGCCGTAATCAGAAATACATGTGTAATTAATACGTACAAGCATGCATGTATGCATTAAAGGAATTGGGGCATGCACTCGTGCCCGCGCCCCGGAGCACGACTTTTGAGGTTGTGCCTCAAGGTCTACATTAGAGGCTTTTGAGATGCTAAAGCAAGCATTGCTTAAAGCAACAATTTTACGATCTCAAGATTGAGAGAAAGCGTTTTTTTTTTTTTTACAAATGCTTCCGGAGGAGTGGACGCAATGTTGGCACAGTTGAATACAAAAGTATACAACCATCCCATATATTATGCTAGCAGTCAACTCATTTTGGTAGAAATGAATTACACATCCACAGAACAAGAAGGTCTAAATATTATTTATGTGTTGAAGATATTTTGCCATTACTTGCTCGAGACGATGATTACGGTGGTGATAGATCATCAAGCCTTCATTTATCTTCTCAACAAACCAAATGTCACGAAAAGAATTGCAGGATGGATCATTGATTTGAAAATTATACGTTGCACGAGCACAAAACATGGCAATGTTGATTTTCTTTCAAGGACGGAGAAGGAGATGGATGTTGTTTTTGAGTACAAAGATTTTCCGACGCAATGTTAATGTTAATCGACGTTGACAACCAACCAGAGGAATACAAAGATTATTATCTGATACCTCAAAGGTATGAATTTTCTATAGTATGCAAACAAACATCTAAGACACAAGTTGCACATAAGAGTAGATCTTATACCTTGATAGGTCAATTGCTGTATTTTTTGCAAGAGAGACAGTATCTTTCAACGTGAGGTGGAAGAGCGGCTGTATAATATTTTCTATGAAACTTTCATGAAGTATTCTATGAAATACATTTTGTGGTACAAATTACAATGGAGAAAATCTTGGCGGTTGGTAACTATTGGCCAACTATGTTCAAGGATAGTTTTGAGTACTATAAACGTTGTGAAGTATGTCAAGCGTTTGCCAATAAGTCTATGGTTAGCGGAAAGTTGCATCCCATTCCTAAATTAATATCATTTGAGAATTGAGTTATAGATTTGATGAGGCATTTATCAATTACAAGAAGGGCACACCGTTTCATTGTAGTTGCCACGGATTATCTTACAAAGTTTGCACAGATTAGGTCTTTGAAGACTTTGGTCAAGAAAGAAGTAGCACAATTTGTGCATGAACGCATTGTTAATTGCTTCTACATTAAGTTAGAGATGATATATAATAACAAACCTCAATTCACGAGTTACGTGTGGATAGATTTGATGGAACACTTAGTAATTAAACATAGATTTGCGACTATGTATAAACCAAGTACAAACAAACTTGTAGAACAAACAAACATGATACTATGTTATATGATTGCTAAAAAAGTTGAAACAAGGACAAATGCTAATGATTGGGATCTCAAGATACATCATGCAATGTGAATATATAACTCGACGTTAAGTATAAAACTCAACGTTAAAAAGTGCTATAAGATTCTATTCATTTTGTTTAAATTATGACATTGAGGCTCTACTTTTGATAGATTACGAATTGATGACACTCCGCACTGATGTGAAAGCATGTTTGGATTTAGATGAATCGCAACGAAGACGGTTGATGCAATTAAACGAATTGGATGAGATCCAATTGCAGGCCATGCAGGCAATTGAGGTGGTTAAGTCAAAAATGAAGAAGGTGTGAGATGCAAAGATAAAGAAGCCGGTGGTAAAGACGGGAGACTTGATGATATCATACAATTCAAGACACTTTCGAAGGGCTCATAAGAAATTGCTACCCAAGTCGTTTCAACCGTATGAGGTTAAAGAAGTCTTTGCGTCAAATGATACCTATTTCTTTTTCAATCTAGATTTCACTAATTATCCAGATCAAGATAATCATGATAAACTGAAGAAAGCTTATGTAGACTTGTTAGACAAGTAAAAGTCTAAAAGAGTATTTTGCTATAAATGTGGGGTGAATGTTAGGTAGTAGTTTGAAGCTTCTGAAAATTCCCTCCATTTGTATGATAGTGGAGAGTAGTTATATTCAAAAGATTATGTGTCATACATTTAAGATAGCGAGATTGGGAGATTTCGCAAGAAACTTATTTTTCCATGTCATAAGGGTATTTAACGAGCACATTTGTGAGGGTATGCACATTCTGTTAGCGCTTCGTATGTATTGAGTGAGAGTGCACTAAAGTCATCATGATGATCGAGCTATGTAATAGGGTTGGATAGTCGCCTTCACATCATGAGTTTAAACACGTATTGTTTCACGCGTCACAATGTACGTCTTCTTGTATCCCATCTATCCCGGTGTATATAAGCATTGATCTTGAATGTCATTAGCTTGCTTCCATTGCTTTCTGTTTCAACAATAGTTTAGATTAGAATCAAAGAAGTACAAGAATAGAAGATGTAATAAATTTACAATGTATATAAAATATATACATAACAAGTTCTTTTAAGAACTTGAAAGAAATTACCATGATTAGAAGATCATAGGTACTTTTGGAGGTGACTTTAATCTGCAATTCACTTAGCTATGTTGTTTACAGAATTAAACTTCCCAATAGTGACATATATTGGTGCTAGAGTTTTAAGCCACTATTGGAAGATGTCATTCACAAGAGTAAACTACATAAATTTGACTATAACCTCCTATTAGTAACATACATTGATGTTAAAGTTGGATGTCATTATTTGGAGGTGAGGAAGCTTAATATAACCTCTTAATAGTAACATAATCATGTTAGGGTTAGATGTCACTTGTTAAAAGAAAGCGTATAGATTTCTTATCATACATTACATCAATTCTAGGACATTTTATATAAATGTGTTGTTCGATTTAAAAATTGACTTCATTTGCACATTTGTGTTATTCATGATGATCAACGTGGACGTTATAATTGCGTTTGAGTTCAGTTTAATACACAAAACTTTGAGTGAAAAAATCGATGATAATATATGCAATAAAGTACTTTATTGAAACCCAAAAAGAGTGAATTGTTGAGATAGATCTTTATATTAATGTATATCACATTTTTCTTTTCATAGCTATGTATTGTGATCATGATAAGAGTTTTAACTCCAAAATTACATTTGAAATTATCACTATTATATAATATCATATCTTGGCTATAGTGATATGATATTGAGCAGATTTGCAAATTAGAATGTCAATATGTCATTCTATTAGAATGACATACTCTCATTCTATTGGGTAGTTTAACTCTGTACACATACAGAGCTTTCATATCAAGTCATCATGAAATAACACCTTATCATCTTATCCCGGTAATCATATGAGAGGATATCATACCTCATATATGCATTCTAGTCTAGGGATGGGAACCATGGGATTTTTTTTCCCGAAAATAGAATTCTATATAAATGAAGATTCGTTAAATAGAGTTTTAAGTTCATGATCATCTAGAAGAGTTTTCGTGCCAATGATTTTTGCGGGTTTAAGATTGGGAGCACTAGAGGAGCTAGAGGCCGTAATAAATTTCATGGTTTTGGATTTCGCGATTCATTGAGATCATATTGCTAAATCAAATAGTAGGTCAAAATTGCACAAGTGACCGTGGCCGAGGACTGAATACTCGAAAGGAGTTATTTAATACAGCGACAAATAGGTTCGAAAACGCCCAATTTGCCACCACATTATTGCTAGTTGTGGCAAAAATAGCAATTATAAATAGAATGTCGCTTTGTATGAGTTCAAAGATAGCCCAGGTTACGTCCTTGCTTCCATTCCCTTTACATTATTTGTCTTACTGCACTACTGGGTTGTTCCCATTACACGGAAGAAACTCGCCGGACGGTTCTCGATCCCGTCCCCTGACCCACCTCGATTCGAACCTCACTAACGCAGAAAGCCAGTCAGTGGTGGGATGTGCAGTTGGATGTACGTGGCTCGATTCCAGCGAGGACCTCCACATTCCGACGGGTCGCCCTTCCTCGAGATCCAAAGCAGGAGATTCGCAGGAGATTCATCGAATATCCACGCCCATTTGGCACAGCTTCCCAAAAGATTCGATAGATTAAGGCGGAGTCAAATATCTTCGAAGGAAGAGAGCTCCTCTTTTAATCAATGAAGGAAGGGCAACCGTTTCTACTACTGGACCGGACCATACGGTCAAAAATACGGTACGATGCTAAGACGAAGACGGAGGGCCCCCTTGGATCGGAATGGACGGAATGTTCGGGCCCGAGAGGGCAGGCCAGAAATAGAAGGAGAAAAGGAGCACATGATGGTTCACTCCATCTGGACAGTGCTCTGCTACCTCATCGGAGATCGTACGCAGTTACTGTACTCGTGCCTACTCGGGCGCTCTGTCCCTTGGAGGGACTGCGCGAGGGAGAGAGGCTGCGAGAACCTCTTCTGTTCTCTTGCGTAGGGCTGTTCTGGCCCTCTGGGGGGAGTGCCTATGCCTGAGCCTGGGCTGACTGCGTGGAGGGCTTGGTGGCGTGTGGCCTTGCGGGCGTCCGACTCAGTAAGTGGCTGGCTGGCTGGCTGGCTGGCTTGGACGTCGAGAAAAGAAAACGAGAAGAAATGGGTCGCGTCACGACTCACGACGCGCGGAGCGAAGCTTGGAGAAGATGAGGTCGATCCCCGGACGGACAGCGGTGCCGAGCCTAGAGAGGGCAGAAAGGGCGACGAGGAACGAGGGCGGCAGGCCGGGGCGGTGGTTGTGCTGTGAAGCGCGAGAGAGAGAGAGAGAGAGAGGGAGAGCACGGAGGGGAGCAGCGGAGACGGGAGGAGGAAGAGGATCGAGCGGGGCAGCGATCGAGGGAAGGAGGGAAGGAGGGAGAGAGAGAGAGAGAGAGGGCTAGAAGTGGAGAGCTTTTCGAGGCTGCCACGGGCATTGCTTACTTTGGCCTGCTGCCGACGCTCGCGCTACCCAAACGACGACGATTAGGGGAGGAGACGAGCGAGACCGGAGAGAGCAATCCTCGTTTCCGTGCCCGGGGGAGGCGAGAAGCGAAGCGCTTGCACGAGACGAAGAGTTTGAGAGGCGAGCAGGGAAAAGTCGAGAGGGAGAAGAGAGCTTGAATTGCGATTCTTCGCGCAGGATTTGTTAGTTAGGTTAGGCAGGCGGGCAGGCGAAAGGCGGTCTTCGAGGGGAGCGGTGGTTATCGGAACCGGAGGAGAAAAGAGGAGGCCGGGGATCTGTAAGACACTAGGGCGCAGGATTTGCGGGCACCCTTTTGTTTATGGAATATATGCTAGCAGCAGCTTGGTTTCTCTAAATGGCACTTGTATCTTCGAACATAATCACACCGACCGCATCCTCGAACCTGACCGCAAGCAGCAAGTCCGTCGAGAGTGCAGACGTGCCGGACTTCCCAGACAGTCCACTCAAAGGACTATCCAATCCGAATTTCGCCCCGCTTGCCTCCAGCAGTCTTAATAAGCAGCAGCAGCAGCAGCCGGATTCCCCGGCCACACCTTTCGCTTCTGCTGCAACTTCCACTGTGCCTTCTCCCGGCGAGCAGGCCGAGCCTCCACCTCAAGTCAACAATCTTCTGTCTGTTGGTTTTAATCAGGACTACGGCTGCTTCTCTTGCGGAACTGACTCAGGTTTCCGTGTCTACAATTGCGATCAATTCGAGGAAACCCTCCGTCGCGAGTTCAATGGAGGAATTGGACTTGTGGAGATGTTGTTCCGGTGCAACATTCTGGCCATCGTCGGAGGCGGCACTACTCCCCGTTATCCGCCGAACAAGGTTATGATTTGGGATGATCATCAGAGACGCTGCATCGGGGAGCTGTCTTTCCGGTCCGAAATACGCGCTGTTCGGCTTCGCCGTGATCGGATTGTGGTAGTTTTGGAGTATAAGATCTATGTGTACAATTTTTCGGATTTGAAACTGCTCCATCAAATCGAAACTATTGCGAATCCGAAGGGGCTCTGTGCACTCTCGCCTGCTTCAACCCCTTCTGTCTTAGCGTGCCCAGGCCTACATAAGGGTCAGGTGCGCGTTGAGCACTACGGATTGAAGAAGACCAAGTTCATATCAGCCCACGAAACACATCTGGCCGCTTTTGCACTTACTTGGGACGGCCGGCTTCTTGCCACTGCCAGTAACAAGGGAACACTGATTCGCATTTTCAACACATTGGACGGCACAAAATTGCAAGAGGTAGGTTTGCCGCATGTTTGGCTGCATAGTTATTGTCTCACCTTCTTGAAGTTCGTCGGCCCAAATCCTCGCTGTGACCCGTCATGATTTGCACTTGGGCATCCAAAATTGAGTCTTGATACTCAAAAAATCTCTAGTAAGAGTTTCCCAGTTCAACAATTTTCCCACCATAGAAGAATGTAGCTTCTAGTCGATTACGGGCAAAGATACTGGATCCTTTGAAGAACATCAATGCCCGATGCCCATGTTGTCGAGAATGAGAGATTTAAAATCTCTGAAGGACAGCATCAGCGGCACGATTTGACAGCATATTAGGTTCAGAAACTTCTGGTTATTTCTTTCTTGATCATTCGTGTGTTTACTGGAAATTCTAGATCTCTCCACAACCCGAGGGTTTACTAAAAGGGGAAACGTATTTAACTGTCTTGGCTCCCTCTTCACCGGGTCTGTATACTTCAGCGGCTCGAAAGACTGTTTGCAGAGACTGGCGTGAAGGGAGACGTCCTTTCTATTTTGCATATAAAGTAGCAGAAGTATTGTATCAACAGGACGGTTGTTTGGTGGTGTCACTCCGTACATACTGTATGTCCCCCGTGGTCCCACGTGTGGGGTTTTGTGGAAGCATACTTGCCTTCATTATTTACGGGGTTAGGCTAGATCTGTCAGACGATTGATTTTGCGCTTTTTCAAATTGTGCAGCTTCGACGTGGTGCCGACAGAGCAGAGATATACAGCATAGCGTTCTCCCCAAATGGCCAGTGGCTGGCTCTTTCGAGCGACAAAGCAACAGTTCACGTGTTCAGTCTCCGAGCAGCTGCCGGCACTGACGATATCCGTGTTACCGAGACCCAGGCAGATGCCCATGCAAAGAAGCAAAGCAAGTACCTTGTTGGGACCGCACAAGGTACAGGTAGTGGTAACGGGAAAGGCAATGTCAATGTGGGCGGAATCGGTGGAAGCCTAGTTGGAGGGTCGAGTTCTCTACCGTTTGGAAGTGGAAATCCTGGCTCATCATTGTCCTTGTTTAAAGGTAAATACGTAAGGTGCCCTTCATTTGGTATGTCTGCATGTGGTGATTTGAGCGCATGTGGTGATTTGAGCGTAGTTGGGTGTGAGAACACTATTCCGATTATTGCGGTAGTGGGGAAGACACTGCAAGGTTGTAGTTGTTTTCCACCGGCTTTGTACCAAATTGTCTTTCTGGTCAGTTTTGAAATCTGGATAGACCTATCTGACCTTCTGTGTTCTAGATGTATCTTGATTGTCGCACTAATTCAAGCGTCACAGTTCACATTTGACAGGCCTCTTTCTACGCGTTTGTGTGTCGTCTCTCAAGTTGATTCCATCACATGATGTTCGCTGATCTTGGTCTATTGCTTGCTTTCGTTATCTGACGCAGGAGTTTTACCCAAATACTTCAGTTCAGAGTGGTCTTTCGCCCAGTTCCGAATTCCTGTAGAGACGAAGGCTATTGTTGCTTTTGGACCTGCAAAAGACACGCTTATTATTGTGGGCAGTGATGGCAGGTAGCTTATCCAACCCGTAACCTTCCTCGGCCCTCTTTGATTGCTAAACGTCTAATTTCAGCTCGGAAGAAATCTTTTGAGGCTGACCTACCTGTCTGTCATTTCAGTTTCATCAGAGTGTGGTATGATAGCGGCAAGGGTGGAGTGATGCAACAGCAAGAGTACAAAAAGTTCATGAACTCTGACGAAGAGGGATCGTCGAAGGGTGCAACGACGACGGAACACCACAGGAGACAGTCCAGCGACCGGTTTTAAGCATATTTGTAAGTAGGCTTGTTAGTTTGAAAGAAAAGAGGACATTGCGTCCTCATTACAGTAGTGATGGGGGCTTTAACTTAGTGTAGCTAGTCGTTTCAGACCTGTTTCTGGTGTACTCACATGTAAATAGGTTTACTGTATAATTGTATCAGGCTTGTCTGGAAGCGTGCAAGCTTAGTCCGTACGGATTTGCAGGGTGGGTGTATAAACTGATGTAGAGGTGTGCATCGATTACTCAGGTTTATCGAGGGTCTGCCACAAGCGTGTTCAATGTGGGAGCCTCAATTGAAATGGATGTAGGGTTCAGGAATCTACAGATCGTACATGAAACATATGTCAAGGTGGTGACTAGGCTTTGTCAATATAAGCTGGTTTACGGAACTATTTTACTGAGCTTGGTCAGAAATGTAGTCGCTAACATGCGAATAGGCTTGATTAATTTAAATGTAGACTCCGGTTTATCCAGTGTTTGTCACGGTTTTATGGACTGAATGATGTGTTTTTGTGACTAAGGTTACTGGTTTTGAATGTGAGTAAACCTTTCATATCTGCTTTTCCGCGATTTCGACGCTAGCTGTCCTGTTGGGCTGGCGATATTGTACTGTGGATGAACTCCGATTGCTCGAATATGAAAGTTGGAAACGAAATGTGTCACATCGTGTAAGTATTGCAAGGCCGTTTAACAGCAACGGAGATACAACTTACACAGTCATTGTCTGGGTCGGCGTTGCAAAATTGATCTGGGGCTGTCGACGTATTCGTCGACAACCCAACTACGTACTAACTTTTTCCCATTTCGGCCCATTGGGTCGTCCTATTGTTCAGCGAGACTGTGGTCTCCAAAACGTTTTTTGACAGCTCAAGACTTTGTTCTTCCCTTTTGGTCCACTCTCCGTCTCAACGACATCTGTTTTCCATCGAAGGGCAGCTGCGACAGCCTGTATAGTTGCAAGGACCTTCAAGTCATCCCGAAATAAGGCAAATCCTCCTGGCCTCAGCAATCGGTCAATTTCCCGCACCATTTGCTCCACGCCGCATCTGTTGGACAGGTGAAGGTATCAGTGATGTTTTTATGAACAGACCAGACAGATTGTGCTGTTGGAATGAAGTTCAGCAATGGGATCACCTGTGTGTGGCGGGGTAGAGTCTAGATGCATGCACCAAGTCGAACGACCTGGGGTGCAGCTGGAAAGGTAAGCACCTAAGAAAGAAATGTTGTCAGCTTCGTGACTAGGAGAACTTTGGCACATTCCACGGATACTAGAAGTAACTGATCAGTTGTTCAAAGTTGAACTTTCTTGTAGAGAGCGGCACATGTCGTACACTTTTTAATGCCGGTAGTCAAGTTTCATCACAAGGAATCTTATTTGCGACAAGTCGCATAATCACTTGATAGAGTAAGGATTCCAGTTCTGATTCCCATTATTACTTCTGATTCAAAGAACTGCACATTGCCAGCCAGTGCAGGCTTTCAACTGGCGGAAGGTTTCCGTGATAGTAGGAAGGTCAGTTTTCAACAAAAACAAATATAGCTGCACGCAACGTTACGAGCAAAGGCGCATCTGGAAGTAACAGTGTAGTGCCATGCCGTGCCAGGGACTGCAGGCCTTTGGTACACGGCAGTAGCACCACGAGGGCGTAGAACTCACCAGTCGTGGTAAACACCGATAAGGCCCCTGTCGAAGATCAGGGCCAGTCGGTCGGGCATGTCGACGGGCGCCACGCTCAATACCCACCAGTCAAGACGAGCAGCCGTCTTCAGCAGCGAGACAGCTGCCGCGAATCTGCCGCAAACGCACGATCATTTTACGGCAGCACAAAAGGGAGTAGTCAATCATCCGAGAGAAACGAGCCGAATCGCCACGTGGCACGTACCCGCCATATCCAGCGTTCATGTCGAGCACGTTGCGTATTTCGCGGACTCGCTGTTCGCCGAAGCCCGTGACATAGACGTCCACGTTGGATTTCCAGAAGCGCAAGTCCGCCTCGTAGGCCTCATCCTTGGCCCGCTCCAGACCTGCGGCCGGCGCCTCTCGCAGTCGCGACGGCGGCTGCTCTGCCCGCTGCGGCCATCGCACGGCCATGGCCTCCGCGGCACCGGGCGCCGGAAACCCCCATATACACTTCCGCAAAGGTTCCTTCCTGGACACGAGAAGAGTGCGGCCGTCATGAACTGAGATCTCGACGATACGTCGTCGTCTACGTCGGGAAAACATGAAGGATCGACGGGCGCTCTGCCGCCTCTCCAGAGCGAGTCGTCGAGGGATCACCATCTCACCAGGGAATCCGGGGCCGCGACGACTCGGCAGCGCGATCGCAAATGGGCGGACTTCGCGATGGCGCGCCGGTCCTGAGCAGATAGCACGACTGATTCGTTGATTTCCGCCAGACGCGGAGCCCCTCCACCAGCGCGACCGACGTCCAACAGATCCTCTCCGTCAGAGCCTCCATTCCTGCCAGCACAGCAACTCATGCTTCAGTCACTGCAACCACATTGCGAACGCCGTCCCGCGGTGCCGTCGCCGTCTTCCTCGACGGGCCCGTGGCATTCATGATCGGCACGAGGCCTCGATCTCCTCGACGACGTTTCTGCAAATCCACCACAGAAGCTGGAGTCCGGGGAATTGCCTGGATTTCAGTTTCCGAGTACAGACTACGAAGGCGAGAAAAAGTGCACGGCCTGGATCATCGGTCGAGGCCTGCGTACAAAACCCCTGCGCAGACAGAAATTTTACGTTTGGGATCGTTCTGAGTGGCTATTCGTCAATCTTCAGCTCGGCTGTCAGTCTTATCGTCCGATGCTGAGCAAATTCTAGATGTACAAGTGTGCTAGCGTACCAGTCCCACGGGTTGCAGCTTCTGGATCTGATGAGTCCGCCCACACGAAAAACCCTCCTGCTCGCAATATGCGATCCGCCTCCAACAGCTTCAAACCATCTGCAGGCAGCCAGTTGTCCGTCGGTCGCTCAATGTCGAAGAGTCAGTCACAATCCAATGAATCCAACCGATCAACGCTTCGAAAACATCCAAGCTGCCCTTCTTTTATAGGAGGATGCTGGACTCTGTGCCGAGCTATCATGCCTCGCAGTCTACCGAAGATCCTAGAAGGAATGAATGATGGAAGGAGTGAACAACATCGGTGGACATTGTGGTGTCAGCAGCAGGAGATCGAGTGGGTGAGGGAGGTCACCATTGATGGTCCAGTCCACGAGGCACGCAGCGCAGTGGATCAGATCGAAAGCCTGACTCGGGTAAGGTAATCGATTTGCATCGAGAGCCTGAAGCATACTCGGATAGCCCCGCTCCACAATCAGCTGCACTCCGTTCTCACACGACCCTTCTCCGGGCACCGAGAGCGTGATTGCACCTCGCTCTTCCAGATCTGCGGCCGCGTGCCCTGCTCCGCAGCCTATGTCCAGCACCGTCCTCACCCTCTCTCCGAACGCCAGTCCCGGTACCTTTTGGCACCTATGCACGAGACTCAGTGACTTTCCATCCAACAATTCCATGAAATGCGCAGCAGTAGACTTCAGAATTTGCGCTCAACTAAGTTGCAGATTTTCGACTTCGCACTATCAGGTTCCGCCAGCGAGTTGTCCCTGAGGTGATCACGAGGTCTATCGACAAAGAGTTCGTTCATTGATAAGCATTCAGTAGAAGGGCGCTTATACTGATATCCTCCACTGTCGACAACTTAGCATCACCCTGACACCAAGTGGCCCCAAGAGGCAAAGTCAAGTGCGACTGAGAGTGAGGAGGAGGACGAGGAGGAGAGTAAAAGCTGTACCGCAGCTTGCAGGTCGTTGAAGTAGTTGAGTGTACCATTGGGAAACTTGGGCTCGGCCCCTCGCAGGAGCACTGAACTTCCATGAGGCTGGATCCAAGCTTGCCACTCTCGACTGGACAGAAGCGGTACGTTTGGAATGTTGGGCCGTCTGACCTGAACGAATGACCGACCCCATGTCAACAAGAAGAAGAAGCAGCAGCAGCAGCACATGAGTAAAGAGGTCAGCATTTGATACAACTCTCCTGCAAATTGAAACGTTGCTCAGCCTTTCCATACGCAGGCTCACTCAGGCCACGGCTTGTGACTGAAACTGAGCTCGAGGCAGCCTCCCCTCTAAAACCAAATCTCATTACGTACCCAACGACGACGCTCACCTGCGTTTTACTCGTGGGCCACTTGAACTGTCGAGCATAGTTCTCAGGAGTGGCAATGACGCAAGGCTGGACCACTCGGTCCCATCGTCTGCAGTCACGCTCGAACACGTCGTTTGACGAGGCATTCACTGAGTCTGAGTCTGAGTCTGAGTCATGCAGGCATGGTATGAAATCCCTCAAGTCTGCGGGACAGGGACGAGGACCAACTGATTCAGTAGGCTCGGAGGTCTGTACATGACTTGAATTGTAGCTGATTGATCGCCTCGGTTTGTCCTCGCACAAGCCCTCGCTGGAAGGATTCGGCTCATGCATGAATTTAGCGCTAGAGAAGGATCCATCAGGATCCAGCACGCCGTCAAATGTCCACCCTGCTGCTGCAAACTGGTGCCTCTGCTGTCGGTGATCCGAGTTCATGGGTGGCTGCGATTTCGGTGCTGGCTGTGAGGATAGTGATGTTGGATATTGAGCTGCAGCAGGCGGAACCCATGACGAGGGTGCCCCCAGTGCATCGCCGGAAGATTGCACTGATACGACAGAGGACACCGAGAGCAGAAGAAGTAGCACTATTAAAGCGTTCAAATAGCAGTCGCTGCCCATGATCGTGCCCACAGGAGCTCCCTGCTGGATCCTACTTTTCCTGGTCCAAAGGTAGACTTCAGAACCCCTTCGAGCGAGCGATCGATCACAACGCCTCCACTCTCTTCCGATACCTACGAGTTTTGATCAAGTCTCCAGCTGCTTCTGCTTCTGCTGGGAAAGTCGCCATCAAGTTTCATTCCAAGGCTTGCGAATGGCAAAACGCTCGAAAGCTCAAATCGACTTCAGTCTGATTTCGTGTGACAGGAATTACGCTAAACCATCGTTCTCCGCTGCAGCAGCCGCCCCGACGCCCCTCCAGTTGCTCCGTCACGCTGTGCGAGGCGCAATACTTTTCAGCTGGTCTATCGAGAGTCTAGCATCTGAGTCACTCTCTCAAACGGCCACGCATCGACATGGCACTCAGTCCTTCGAGTCAAGAGAAAGAATTCCGAGATTTCGAATATGTGATAAGACATATATAAATAACGCAAGAGTTTAATGGAAACTTGAATTGGGTATTGTTCTTAAAGTTTTTGCTATTTGTTAAGAACATGACATGGGATTGTTTGATCATTACTGCGAAGAAACTTAAATTTTTTTTCACATAATAATTTGACAAAAAAATTATTGTTATGAAATTTATAGCCCCAAGAGCATCGAGTGTTGCTCTGAGGCGCGGTACGGTACACCCTTTGAGCTCACGAGGACAGAGACTCGGTTAGTTCGATCGTAACAGAGCAGAGATCCAGTTCAATCCCGGGACATCTGCAGCAGTGCTGGCGCCGACGAACTGCTTACGAGCGAGAAGCTTCACGTCGGCAATGGAGGTGCGGCTGGCTCGTAGACTCGTACGCCCGATGAATGATAAGTCACCCACAGAATCCTGCACAGCGTACCGGACAGTAAATGGAGGTCGTTTTTAACGATGGGAATGCAGTTACGATGATGGATCTTGGATATTTGGGAAGCTCCTCCAACTTCTCGTGCTTCCAGGTAGCTACGAGAATCACAGAAATGATGATTGAAGTGATCACCGATCCATCGATCTCTCATTCATAGCGCGGTGACGTGCTCACTCGGGGACGTCCTTTGTGTTCGGACTTCTAAGTCCGTAGCTGGTGGTGTGACATGATCATGTGTTGCACTCAGATTAGTGAGATAATCTTTAATCAGTCAAAATTTAAATTATTCTTCTGCGTTTCTTGAGAGAAACAAAAGTCATGTTATAAAACGGGCACCACCCCTTGTTCACTATTTTCACTACCAGTATGCACTCGATGGGTGAGCTTCAGAAGAAGGGATTTAAGATGCAAGGCTGGAAGATGAACCGTGGAGTCATCGTAACCAACGTGAGACATATTGTTTGGGATACTTTTACTTTATTTCTGTTGCTTCACTTATAGCACTACCCAGTGTTATCCCTAAAAGATCAATCACGATAGGTGTGTTGCTTGGGATGCTCTGTTGTTTTATGATATTTTTGCAGAGATGGTTAGAATATCTTAGGAACACTCATTTACCATTCCGATAAAACAGACGACAATAATACATTTTGGTAGAAACCAAACGGCTTGATGGGTATTCACATACTCTTTGCTACATTAGTTGGTGTCTACATTATGTCTGGAGAGAAGTGAAGCTTTAATTTCCATTGTCGAAAATTCTGATACTCAAAATTCAGGTTCACGTCTACAAATCGTTTGCATGCATAACAGAAAGTAGAAGGTTGTACATTTCTTAATTAGTAGAAGACTACGTAAGCTTCGACCCTTGGGCTCTAACAATATCTTCAACCATCTAATGAAAGAGACAACTGGAATAAACAGCCTGGATTTGTGAATATGTATATACAAGAAACATCAGTTAAATAATTTTTTCTATGAAATAAACGTACACTATATTATATTATGTATCTAGTTTTCATGTATTCTGATTACATATCTTGAGTACCTTTTTAGTTATATCGAAGTAAGTAGATTATAGCAAGTAACATAATACTGTATAGTTTTGTAGTGATGTTTTCTTAAACATCATCAGCGCGGGCCCAACTGATTAGGACTCGGTTGAAATTGACATATACTCACGTCTAATAGTGCACACAAGCATAGTGGTAGACTGATAAGTCTGGTTAAGCTTTTAGGTTGAGACTGCTTATAAAATGTACAACAAATTATACAAAAAATGCACACCAATTTAAGTGGTGCACCAACTGCAAATTATGCTTAAATTGAGAACTCAGTGTAAAGGAGGAGAGGGCTCTGCTATTTGGCTCGTCCCTATATCGTGTGCAGGAACACTGGCACATTAAGCTTCAGTGTGAGTGTTTCTACCTGTAAAAGTCCTCGGGTACATACCCGTACCTGAGTCCCAGAGAAGGCTAACTGGATTTATGAGTGAAGTGGTACGTGTTAACTATCCGACATTGACAGTATACAGGATTGATGTGATCACCCTAATTTAAGAACATGACAACTAATCAAACAAAAAATCTACAATGTGACCTCATTCAACGCATGTGATTATTTTAAGTGTTAAAACATCTGCATTAAACCAACTCCATTAAGCTCAAGGAGTAATGGACCCGTCAATGTTAGCAGAAAACGCGTTCAGTATCCTTCTACACAGTTTTGAAGAAAGTCACATATGACGAGGAATGAAGTAGTATCAGAGGTACGGTAGACGTGTAGGCACTGGCAGATTGAAATCGTGTCCTCCACACTTCTAGATCCTGCTTAATCTAATAAGCAGGATCCGTATAAATAAATAATAATAATAATAATAAATAAACCCGTACCCTCATGCTCTCCTCTACTGCCTCTTGTGTGTGTTGACCAGGACGATTGATCATGTGTGGCAAAGGAAATGCTCGGTTCCCATCTATAGGGAAGCCAAAAAATATCACTCATTGATCGCCAGGAACTTTTGGAATGAACAGAATCTCTGTATTTATGCACAACGAGCTACAAGTATTTCTTCAAAATATCGAATAGTCGACACAGATTCGCGACGGATCACCCTCGCGGTGAGCCGAATGCAATGACCAAAGGCTGGGGCAACTGGACCCGCCGACTTCCTTCCCTCTTTCTATGATTTCTTCACTGTTCTGCTGTGGTTTGTCGATTTTAGAGGTAGTCCAAATAAAAAGAAGGACGGAATCTGCAAAGATGTGTTACTTGGGTGACTACACATATATAGACACAACGGGTGTAAATGCTGATGAAGGACACGGTGCTTGACTTACCAGAGGACACTGTCATTTGGGGTAGAGTTGATTGGTAGTATGTTGAGCTTTGAGGAGCCAGGTATCGTGCTCTCTTTAAAGTAAATACTGCAGTGAGCTGGCCTAAAGCTGGATGATGCGGCAGGAGGGCAGTTTGTCAGCTCTCCAAGGACTTTGCGGCTTAATCTTAGACCTCTTCCGAACACTCCAGAATAAACATTTGACAATCTTCATTGTGTTCTGCTGTTTGACTTCGTGGCCGCTGCGGGTTGTGTTCTGATCAGTAGCTTTTCGATCTGTCACATTCAAGTAGCATTAAGCAACCAGTTAATACATCTGAATCTACGCCATGAAAATATGGGAGCAGGAAACTTAGGCAGGAATTCAGCCTTGCAAGACACCTATCTCGGCATAACTAAGATGACTTCTCCTGGGGTTTCAACCCGAATCGCATGGAAAGACCTCCCCAGATTCAGTAAGGAGCATTTCCATGCCTGGAAGAGCAAGATCAGTTTCATCCTTCAACTGGAAGAACTTCGGTCCCTTCCATGATGCCCATCAGTCCTTCCAGTTGAAGGATTAAACTGATCTTGCTCTTCCAGGCATGGAAATGCTCCCCACTGAATCTGGGGAGGTCTTTCCATGCGATTCGGGTTGAAACCCCAGGAGAAGTCATCTTCCTGAACTCGAAATATACTCTGTGCTGAGCTTCACGTTCTGCCGAAGTGAATCTTCGAAAGTCTTCTAACTCTGAACTCTAAACCCTACTGCTCTGATACCATATCAGAAGTGAGGCAATGCAAGAAAGAGTCGAGACACATGTACTGAGTCTTGGAGAGAAGATCTTAGTTAATGGGGAGAGAACCCGGATGGGGATATATACCCAACCGTGACAGTGGTCATCCGAGAGATACAGAAAACCCTAATGGACAGCGGCTGGTCGTGACTAAGTGTCACGACCACGACTATAGTACAAAGTACATATGTCAAAGAACGTGAGTGTACGGAGGTCCAAGAAGTGGGTAGTAATACGACTTCTAACAAGTAGCATTAAGCAACCAATTAATACATCTGAATCTACGCCATGAAAATATGGGAGCAGGCAACTTAGGCAGGAATTCAGCCTTGCAAGACACCTATCTCGGCATTCAAACATTCCATACCGAAACAGCCGGATTTAATATAAACAGAATCTGTTTACACCACTTTGCAGTACACTACATGAACATACTAACAGTCATACCACCCGAACAACATCAGATATTAGAAAATTAACCAACTCATGATGCAGAATGAGTATCGCTACTACAAAACCTCAAGAATTCTCTTTTGTTGCTGGTGTGCAAATTCTCGCTCTACGGATATGGAAGCTTCGAGGGAAGCAAGCTGCAACTCCATGTTTTTAACCGCCTCTGACAGACCCGTTACATGTGTTCTGGAGACGTATGGCATGGTGGTAAGCTGGCCATCATCCGTTCCAAGTTGTACGTGAGACTTTTGATCCAGAGCAGCGGGAACATTGCTTTCAGACTCTGGCACATCATCTTTCCTCGGCTTCGCATTTCGAGCTTCCAGCCATGGCCTGCAGTAGTATTTTGAGGCAGTAAAGTAGATAAGAAGTCTAAAGTTCGAGCTAAAGCAAATGAGACTACAAAACTTTCGTGCTATCCCTAATGATTGTGCTTCAAAAGAAAATGTTAATTCTCACGAATGAAACGCAACAATATTACAAATTCATTCGCAAGCTACAAGTTACAAGAGCATCAAAAAAACATCAGGAACTGAACCGCTCTCAGATAAATAGATGAATATATTAATATTAATGATTATAGATGAATATATCATAAATTAGCATCCTAAACTCGGGAAGGTACGCACTTGATTATAAGGAAAACCGCAACGAAAGCCGTCCCGCTTATCCCCAAAGACTGAGTTGCCCACTGACCTACGGCGTATGTTGCTTGAGCTGAGCTCCGCAGCCCAGAAAAAATCTGCAAAGTACACCGATTTAAACTACTTCCTTTACATGCTCACTGTTGTCTCAAGGATTTGAGTTCTAAACAACTTCCAACACAGGAGGTAAGAGGCATAAGTACCAGCCAGCAAGCTCCCACAGCTAACGCTGGTTGCGTAAGTCCAGTTAATGCGGGAAGAATTTCAGTAAAATTTATTTCAAGGTCAGGCTGAGTTTCGAACTTTGGTGCGCCCTTGGATTTCATAGACGAAACAACGACAGATTTTGAGGATCTTCTGGCTTCTTTAGTTTTCAAATTCTCGAGTGATGGTATTATAGGAAGTGCTTCAAAAGAAGGAAGCTTGATGAAAGAGCCAGTGAAAAATCGATGTTTCAACGCTGCTTCAGCCGAAGGACGGCTGCTCCCGAGACCTGCCATGATTGAAAGCAAGAACTTAGAAGACAAAATCCTCCTCATTGCAGACACCATCCCTCGTAAGTGTTAGCAGATGCACTCTCTTCTTAGATGTGGAAACTATTCACTGGTAAAATACTTGTCATCGTTAAAACATAAAGACTTAGCTTTTCTTGTTCAAGTATGTCATGACAAGATTGAATCTGGTAAACTCTCTTACTTGGCCAGATAGCATGCATCTTGTCATGTCTGGGTTGCAGCATTGCCTTGACGAGCTCCCACCCAGCCCCACCTGCATAATGTTTCACATTATCAACCAACATGAAGATATTTACGGATCGGCATCCAGAAAACGCAAATATGAGATAAATTGTGAACTGACCTACCTCACACTAGGAAACATGACTTGAGTCATAATGTGATGCAGGAGAACGGAAGGAAACTAAGACACCTTCAAGGCTGGAGCTGAAGATGGATCTATAAGGTCAAGAGCAAATACCATCTGCATCAAGAAGATCAAAGTCTTCTTCATCATATCGACATTTCCTTCTCCACTCGTCCAAATTATATCCAGCGCGCTTCAATTCTCTATTAAAAGTAGACTGTGGAAGCCAAGCCAAAGAAAACATGAGTCTAGTATTGACAAGTATTACGTTCACCATGCAAGTTCACCATGCAACTGCTATGATACATTACAAGAACCACTCGACTGATAAAGAAAGTAAAGTACATTAACCAATAAGCACAACCTATTCTCCCATAAACGGTTAACGAAGAAGCAATCCTGCAAAGTTTATCTGTTTAATCGATGAAGAAGTTCATCAGGTACGTACTAAATTTATGTCTTGTCGTAGTGGTTGGAAAGCCATCTGCAGCATAATCAAACCCTGTGCATTTGACAAATACTTTGCATAAGCTATATAAACATTTATCTCATTTCGTAAACAAGAACCATTGCGACTAGATTGAAGCAGCAAAATTTCAAATCAATGTCAAATCCTACTTACAGCTGAATAGAGATCAAAGCGATCAGGAGTGTTTAGTGCCCAAACGAGCGGTGATATCAAAGAGCATAAAGGATCAGGAGGTAATTCAGGAGTGGAAATTGGCATAATATGATGTTCAGGAGCTGCATAGGTTGGATCTATGATCGTTTCATCAGGTACCTGCCACAATACAGCAGTGAGGCCATCCTAAGCAACAGTTGCCTTTGTTAACTGAAGCATAGCTTCACATTAGTTTGGTCTACAGCCAAGCAAAAGGAACTACGACGATAATGACTGAAAACATGGGGGCGACATCCGCCACTCTAGACTACTCAAATATTCAGGGCGTTTCTCATCTTGGATAACTCTGGCGTAAACTTGAGCTAAGACTTCCAGACATTATATATTACAAAGGGCAGCCCTAAATCTTAACAGATATGTTCAAAGAAAATTAACAACTGCAGTATCAAAGGTACATAAAAGTTCTGACTTACGTAATTGTAACCTGAACGTAAATCAACACAAGCCCCAAGGTCAATTAGCTTGAAAGTTCCTTCATCTTCGGCAAGAATAAGGTTCAAGGGCTTCACATCCCGATGCACAAGTCCTGCAAGCACGTTCCAATGTGATGTTTGATGCACGGTCCCTCAAAACGCAGATTTTCAGGCGACATGAATGTTTCGATCTGAATAAAAAGTGTTCTGCCTTACATTTCTGTGAAATGGCCGGGCATATCGAAACCCTCATACCTGTCCTATGGAGGTTCTGGAGATTTGTCAATATTTGAAACATTATTTTGCGAATAACTGCCTTGTTTTGCTCCTTCAATGAAATTTGCTTCCTCGGCTTCTGGAACATAATCAAACCAATCAATGAGGCAAACAACATGAGCACACCACCATACTACACGAGGCAAACATGGCATTCATTGACAGAATCTTAGGGACTCATAAGATACTTGGCACCAGTGTGGAAGCACATCAGTACTCTCACAATATACAAAATAAGATGAAACACAGACCAAATGTTAATCATGATGCATGTCTAGACTACAACACCTGATGAATTCTAGCTGAAATTTAGTCGAAACCAGACATTATGAAACTCTTACCTGGCTCCCAAGAATATAATCGGAAACGTTGTTCGGAAAGTTTTTCTGTTTCAAGTAATAATCAAGAGTACGGCCGCCTTCGAATTTCCAGATCAGCCACAAACCCTGCACTAACAATTTCCCATTTAAGTTTCTAAAAAGAAGTTCCATCGTCATGGTGGAATGAGTTAATGGGATCACTGTAAGACACAAGGGATATCAAAATGGACAGACACGCATTGTACCTCTGTGAGCCTCCCGTGGGTTTGTGAACTACTCACTGACGTCGTCCCGAGAAATTCGGCGCAAGCATTAGGAGCTGTTCTCTGCAGAAGTTTCATTCTAAGCGTTACAAGGCGTTGGCATGGATCTATCTCAGATAAAGGTTCGTGAACAGAAAAGTTTTCGACAGCACGATCTACTCAATTCATAAGCCTGTAAAGGACGTCGAGGAACAAAAAAGAGCCATTCTACTTCACTGCTCACAAGAGATCTGCCTTGAAAGTACCTGTACTCTATGATTCATGTAAACTTCCGCATCGTGCATCTGGGAAGCTCCTCTGATATTCGGCTTCGCCTTTTTTAAAATAACGTGTGTCTCCTTGTTTTGAGATCCCCTCCTCTTCCCTACAATGAAATCGTTCAAAACAAGCAGATGATCACCTGATCTACCTTCTCTGACATGTACAACATATTCGGAAGCGGGCAAAAGGGAGTGGAGCCCTACCTCTTCCAATGTAACCCTCGTAAACTATTCCAAAAGAACCTTGCCCGATTTGCTTCCCAACCTCAACCTCCGCTGGATTGTAGGACCTGTCGTTCATGGACAGTACAACGTTACAAAAGCTCCTGAATGTATTGGACTGAAATTCCCACTTAAGATTCCACGGGATCTTCCAGCAATCTTAAGCGTGCGCCATAAATGTTTTACTTGACGGGGATGACAAAAGAGCGTAAAAGAGAAATCCACCTACATGTGAGAATGGGAGTGGAGTGGCGTAGACGCGTAATCCATAAGTCCACCAAGACTGCCAGGGGCTGCAGATAGGTACCACCAAGCCAAAGGAGCTGCAGCAGCAGTCCACCAGATTGAGCTCTGCGCCATTCATCACAGGCTTTGAGGTCGGTCAGTAAGTCAAAATTAACACTATTACTCATTAGCTGAGGAGCTGAACATCTCAAAGTAAAGTCGTAGGACATTCATCGTACCTCTCCTGCGTCGGCCGCCAGAGGAAGGTCGAGCGCTGCCAAACTATGCGCGAGTTCTACCTGGAGTTGCGCAAAGTCGACAAATTCCGCACTAAATTACATACATGACAATTCAGAGCACCAATCAGCTTTTTGCCTTTTGCAAAGCATCGAAATTCTGCCTTCCGATCATTTCTTGGATACGGTAGTTGTATAAGGTTCGAGAGCTGGAGCGTCAGAGAAAGTACCTCCAACCTTCAAGCTCTCTAACCTCCCACAAGTCTTTTATCACTCCATGCTAGTGTAATTTCACATTCAGAGCCGATTAAAGTAACAATTATATTGCGGCCAGAACCGTCCACGTTTCATCGGTAAGAGCTCGTAGTGAACTTAATCGCCACGAACATTCATTCACTGTATGTGAACCCTTCCGACGAAATGAGCCCGGGCCTTGCGCACATGAAATGATGACAGTTAAATCCTCGCAACAACTTGAAGTACAATGACAAAAGTGCAGGCTTGCTCGAGATACGCGCCGTGACTAACAAGGCCTTGATTCCAACGCTCATTGATCACGACATCTATCTAAACCATGTCTCCGCAAGGTGGCAAAAGAATCCGGATTTGCAGAAGAGAATGGCATACCCGCTTGCGATAGCGCTAGCCTCCACGCCATTCTTACGTGATCGCGTTCCGAACGTGCACAATTTGGGCACTTTAATGCTGGGCCGAGAATTCGATGTGCAATGACCCCGGATTAGAGAAGGGAGCGGGGTGCACGTGCCCCGGACCGCGGACGAGAGGGAAAGAGCTTCCATTTTTTACAACAGCAGCTGAATCGCTGCTGCTATTGTGGAGCAGCCTGTCTGCGCCTCAAATTCTCCTCGTCAGATTGACGCAAACAATGCACACGAGTACTGTATATTCGAAAGAATTGGTCCTTGTACGGTGTGGTCGAAACTCGCGATCCGCTCCGCTGCCTCTCCCCGAAATCTTCGATATGATTCCCAGAACCTTTGCAGGTTCTTATCCCCCGCGGCGGCGAAGGAATTTTGTGCAACGCCGGATTGGATCGGACTTCCAGTTCGCGGGACTCCGTCTCCGGATCTCCGTTTCTGCAGCAAGTCTACGCAACCGAGCTTTCTTCAGAGACATCTGCCCCTGAGCCACCGCCTGCCTGCCCCTGCGTTCTTTGATTTGCTTGCACGTCTGAACAGCTCAGCAGTGAAACATGAGGGCAGCAGCCTCAGCAGCAGCAGGAATCTGTCGGCCTGCCCTGTTATCTATTCCCCCCTACAATCCAAACTCGTCCTCCGGTTCGTTGACTTTTCTTCTCTCCCGGAATCTCAGAAGCGCCGCCCGATTGCCCAAAGAAAGTAACTCTCTCTCTCTCTCTCTCGCTCGCTCATTCTCTCCCTCAAACATTCGTACGAACGCAGTCCATGTCGTGCGGGTGCTCAGGAGATGGCAAGCCTCAGGCTCCGGAAGCGCAGACATCAAGAGCCCGAGAAGAATGCATATTTTACATCACGCGGGGCCCTCCTCCCGCCCAACGGTGGACTCGCGTGGTGGTGGGGCCCACCCTGCAGAGCGCAGCAGCACACTTGGCTCTGACACACATTCTCTCCGTGACGCCTCCACTTGATCCCGGCCACCGAACATGCCTGCCCCTGCCCTGCATTCCACGCACTTTCCGTCCGTCTTTCCCCCCACCCCGCAACGAGATGTTCTTCGTATCCTACTGCAAAGTGTACTGAGTGGATCCCGTACCTTCGGCTTTTCGCACTACTTCTGCGCACTTGCCATAATTTTTTGTTTATTTTTTAATGTTGTATGATAATAATTAACAAACATCATAGTTTCGAATTTTATTTATTTATTATTTTCTTTTGATTTTCCAATAGTTAAAGAATTAATAATTATAAATAATTATCATATATATATATATATATTTTTATACAATTGTTTCTAAACTATGTATGATATAACCATGTTAGATGATTCTTCAAATATATATCATAAAATATATTTGTTGATATCATAACGTCAATCATATTTGAATGCAAGACTTGAATTTTTACAGTGATTTAAAGAAAATTTATGTGGAATGGTATATTTTTTAGCAAAAAAAGACACAAGTCAAGTTATCAGGATTTACAAAAACTCTAGAACAAGCCTTGCATTAAATCTAGAATACACTCATTAGTTCTAGAAAAATTATAAGAAAATTAAAATGTTAAAAAATTTATGTTTTTTCACAATGTTTGTTACATTAAGCAAGTCAAAATATGTATTTTTAAAGATGATTGCATATAGTTTAAATTAAAGCTCAATATTTCAAAATAAAAAAGCTACTCGTGGTTGAATATAGAAGATAATCAACACATGTAAAAGAAAAACACGTATTGGAAATGGACTTGGAAAAGAAACAGATATTGTTGGAAAAATTTCAAATTATATGTGACTCCAAAAGTTAAAAAATGTTTGATCAAAAAATTTGTAGAAGTATCACAAGAGATTCTAGATTGTATACTATTTTCAAGTTATTCAAAGAGGTGAGAAGTCGAGAGATCACCAACTTGAGTAAATTGTGCATAACGTATTCGAGCATTGAAATCTGCTACAAGGAAAACTTCACCTTTACTTTGATAATTGAAAACATCTCCTATAAATCGATGGAATGATTGACTATGATTGCAAGTGCGTGTTAAATAGATAAGCATGAACAATGGTGCAAAGTAACAAACATCCAAATAATTATAAGATCCTTCAACCAATCCAAGACGAAGCCAATGATATTAACCTCCAATATCCAGACCTTCTATATGTATCAGAGGTAAAAATTGGCAAATGTTAAATGTTAAATTGAGATATGATGAAAATAGCAATATTGCTATTGCCTCTTCCTGCCCGTTGAATTCCTATGATTCCAAGTGAATTTCATCAAAGTGAACCATAATATCTCTCTAATTGTGTTGCTCTCATGTTCCCACGTTTCCACAAGATTGATGATGTCCTCCATCTTCTTATGATAAATGAGAAATCGGATCAGCACTCATATACTTTGTTGTAGAAAGATCTCTTAATTTCACAACACTTTTATCATTTACCATTTATCATTAACATCCTCAAGCACTTTGATTTCTAAGTTGATGATTGTCTTTTCTATTGTTTGTCCATCACGGAGATAAGCAAAAAATCCTGCATCTTGAACTTCTTTAACTTTTGTAAATTCTTTTCTTCTTGCCTTTACTTGTAGAGGTGTAAGATCAAGATCTAACCAAACCCTATGTCCTTTGAGAATGGTTTTGTTAGTTAAAGCCGCATCACATTGAGCATGTCACACATGTCAATGAATATAGAGCTTTGAAAGTCCATCCAAATCTCCTATTGATAAGTTCAATCAAAATTTCATCTAAATCCACATATTTACCATTTGCCAATTGTCTAAGTTGAGTCATCACTTCATCTCCGGAAAATAAGTCAGGTTTTCTTTCACAACCTGGCATTGGTGCAGCCTTGGGAAAAAATAAAGTTTTTCAGCAAAAGAAATCAAAGACTTGGATTAAAAGTATGTTTGGAATATCTTATTGCCAATCACCTCCAAAAAGATTTGGGATTCTCTAACAGCTACTTTGTCAAGCACTTTTGCTTCATTTCTTAGATTTCACCAAATCTTTGTAAAGTTTTGTTATGATAATTTGATTGTGAAAATCTAAAGATTTATCAACTGATTGCGCTCTTGCTTGCTTGCAATCAAAATCAAAACGTCCATTGCAAGAAAGATACATAATTCTACGGTTTCTTATGTCTTAAAAATAACTTAGAATCAAAGTTTTTGAGCAACTCGGTTAGTTACAAACTTGATGTATGTGGATCATGGCTCCAAGTAGTAAAGGTCAAGAGGTCTTGCAAATGTTGACTATAAAAATTTTTTCTACTAGAATCTAAACAAAAATTGGAGAAGTAGAAACGTATTGACATGTAGAGAGAAGAATTGACTTTGACAGCAAAAGAGTAAATACAAGAGGTTTGTGATCTGATTCTCGTTGAAACTCTATATATAAAATGTTGAGATAAATGAACTATTAGTGGCGGAATACAAAAGATAATCAATAGTGATAACGCCAGTCTAGAAAAAACATGTACTAGAGTGAGAGTTGGTAAAAAAAGAAACACCATGAACATGTGGCTCCAAAAGTTAAGAACATGCTCATTCAGATCATTTGGAGAAAAATCACTAGAGATTCTAGATCACAAACTATCCTTACTTTCTTCAAAAGAGTATGAAGACAAGTAATCATCAAATTGTGTAAATTGAGCAAAACATATGTGAGCATTAAAGTTTTCAACAAGAAAAATTTCACCTTTGTTTTGATATTTGAGAACATCTTGTGTAAGCTGATGGATGATTGATTTCGATTGCAAGTGCTTGTTGTAGATCTGCATGGATAATGATGCAAATTAACAAATTGCGAGATAACTATAAGATCCTCCAATCCATCAAAGACGAAGCCAATCATATTTCTTTTCAAAATCTAAACTCCAAATATATCATAGGAAAAAATTCAGATCTGATGAAAGTGGCAATGACTCCAAAACTTATTTCCTGATCAATTTCTATGGTTCCAAGTAGATACCACCAAAGTAAAGTCATGTATCTTTTCAATAGCATTGCTTTCGTGCTTACAAGTTTCACAATGTTGATGATGTTGGTCATCTTCTAATTTTGATGTGCACTCACATACTTTTTTCTAGATTGACCTCTTATGTACCACATTAACACCCTCTATTTCTTTGATTGTTAGATTGATGATTGTCTTCTTCTCTCAGTAATAATAGTTTGAATATCACGTAGATAAGCGACAGAACATGCTGCTTGAGCTTCTTTAACTTTTGCAAGTTCCTTACTCTCACTTCAACTTGTAGAGATGTAAGATCAATATCTAACATAATACTCCGTTTTTTAAGAATGTCTTTATTAGCTATAATAGTATCACGTTCAGCCTTATCCACAAACTTAACAATAATGGCACGATGTTGGACTCATTTGTTTTCAATACAAAAAGTTTGAGCCAAATCTAGATTAGGAACATGAATTGTTTGAGCCAAGAACTTGGTGACAACACTCTTGAACTCTTCCTTCCCAAATTCAAGTAGACTAAAAATCTTCACATTCTTTCTACAAGCAGATTGATTTGACTTTTCAATCTCTTGCTCTTGCAATAAAAGATATGAACAGACTTGGTAGTTTTAGCGTAAGACTTCATTTTCACCTCTAAACTTTCAACCACTTCATGCAATCCAAGAGTAACAAAAGTAGAAGCTTGAGAATCAAGCTTCTCTTGAATGTTATCAACAAAACCAGAATTATCAAGCATGATCTTCTCAAAAAAATTAAGAGATAGGTTCAACTCCCAAATTTCATATTGTGCAGCATGCAAGGCATTGCTTTTTACCTTGAATTGCTGGCGGAGCATTTTCAATTTTTTCAAAATCGTTTGCACAAGATTGAGAAGCTTGTCTTCGGAAGACATCATGTATCCAACTTTGCTAAGTTTTATACAAATTCCAAGCTCAAATTTGACGACTTCTTCAAACTGAATTTTTTGTGGCTGAAATTTTACAACTATGTGCGTTGAGCCAAACTCATCAATGCTATCAAATTTTAGATCTGATTAACACTCCAACGCAAAGATATGGATATCGCAAGATCTAGTCTCCAAAACCTAAACTCAAAGCTGTAAATTGACAACTTGTTCAAATCGGCTCCTTTGTGGCTAAAATTTTGCAAGCATGTGCGGCCAATCAAATTCTACAATTTTATCAAATTTCAGCTTCAGTTGACATTCCAACGCGAAGATGTGGCCATCGCAAGATTCAGCCTCCAAAATCTAAACTCAAAGCTCTGAATTGACAATTTTTTCAAACCGGCTCCGTTGTGGCTGAAGTTCTACAGACATGTGCGCCCAGCTGAACTCGACAATCACACTAAATGATAGAAAAACCTAAGAAGTGAATCAAGTATTACAGTAGTATTCAAGATGCTTCATCAAAATCATCAATTGGCTGTATCTATTTCTTGTTGCATTGATTACGACAATACATTTCAAATTTTCATTCATCAAATTACATTTTTTCCAAATTATGAATATCATCCATGATTTTACTTTTTGAACTTGAGTTTCATAAGCAATCTGACTACGCAAAATCAAATCACCAGACATTTGGAAATTCACACGAACACAAAAACAAGATTTGTAGAAGCTCACAAGTGGTGAAGAGAATTGTAGTCAAATCTCAAAAGCAAAATCCAAACATCTAAGTCGGAGATAAAGTTTGACTTTTGCGTTACAATTTAAAAAATTCATGGCGAAGCAACAAACTTGACTATTGTTGTTTTGAATCTTTTTGCATGAGTAAGTAGATCAACAAGATAATATATAGATTGAAACTATCATCATTTTGCAAATTCTTTTATTGTTTCATGTTTTCTTGCTTGAATCATATAGAAAATCAATTATTTTAAAATGTTTCCCAACACCTCCGTCATCAATCAATCAAGATCACTCCCAAGAACTCTCGGGTCTCATACGAAGAACGTCGGGTCGCCTCAAAGAACAGGTCCAAGAATTTTTAAAGATGTAATTGAGATGAACTACCTTATGTAAGTATTGACACATGGGGTGATCATGTCAATGCATAGAGTAACAATGTGATAGTTCTTACCATATGCTATTTGGGATGCTGGTCTTGCAATTGATATTGAAAAATAGAAATCAAAGCCATAAACGTAGAGAAACTATGTTATAGTTCTTACTAGAAATTATCTCGGATGCTGGTCTTGCAATCGGTATTGAAAAATAGAAATCAAAGCCATAGACGTAGAGAAACTATGTTATAGTTCTTACCACATGCTCTCTAGCATGCTGGTCTTGCAATCGATATTGAAAAGATTGAAAAACGGAAAGGAAATCAAAGTCATAGACTCAGAGTAACTATGTTATAGTTCTTACCAGATGCTTTCTGGCGTGCTGGTCTTGCAATTGGGATTGAAAAAATCAAAAAACAAGAATCGAAGCTATTGACGCAGAGGTACAATGTTATAGTTCTTACCAGCACAATGCGGGGGATATTGACGACCTTCTTGGAGAGCTCGCTCCGGCCGACAAAATTGATGTTGCTGATGGCGGGCTTCATGGATGACAAACCTCAGAGTTCAAGAATTTCGCAAGTTGTGAGAAATGTGTTAGAACTAGTTTTTCTATCTTGAATACAACGGCTATATGTTCGCTGCTACAACAATTGATGATGCATGTGACTGTGGAAAATCTACTTCAACAGAGAAGGTAGTATGGACCGACCGACCTTCTCAAAGCAGCGGATGTGATGAGAAATGTGTAAGCGTGGAATATGACGATGTGACTATTTCAATTCACAAGTCTGGGTGTTGGCGAGAGACTTCAGATGACTGGATTTTTTGAGCTGAGCTACCATTGGAGAGCCACAATCTCGATAAATCTGTGCAGTGGAGGAGTGTAACTCTTTGAAACAAGCAAATCAATTGGCTTCAAGATGGGCAGCAACTCATAACTCTGAGAATCGGTGGCGAAGGGTTCAAACTTCCCAATGAAACATAAGTAAAGTAGGCCTCCGGGGAAAGCGCGTACTTTCTGTCCATGCCAATATAATTGAAAATTTAGAGATATGATCACTAGATTGTTCGAGTTGAGCTACCATTGGAGAGACATAATCTTCAGAAATCCGTGACGTGGATTAGAATATTTTGAACATAGACACAACACAAGATATCAAACTTGAGATATTGATGCTCATCTTGCTAATGGATTCTTATATCAAAAAAATTTCATCTTCAATATTTGAAAAAAGAAAATGCTAACGATAATTGAATCTAACACACCTAGATCAACATATGCATCAAATCAGGTTGAACCTATGTAAATATCACATGAAACTTTTGTAATATATTTTTAGTTTTAGTTTTTGATAAGATAAATAGAACTACTCGTTGCTTGAAGGGGAAATGATGTCACAAACGCAAACTTTGCCCAAGAGGGAAGCGGTGTGAATTTTATCCATATATGAGAGCAGTGCTAACTTTTATCAACATGAAACAATGCCATCTTTTTCACTTTAGAGCATACTAGCAATATAAATACAAAAACTCTGAACATTGTACCTCCCTCTTGATAATACCAATTTTACTTGCCTTTTTGGTATCAATACTAAGTCTTGTTTTCTTTTTACTAAATCAATCTTTCTTGTTTTGCATGTCATTTCTTCCAATTTTGGAACTTAGAATGTTATTTGGAGTTTTGGAAGTTGTTGTCCGCAACACTAAATGTTAAATGGTAAATAGATCAACTATTTCGCTCAAAATTATTATATTTGATTAAGAGATTACATCCAAGACAAAAATCAAGGGGAAGGATTTTAGAATTTGAGATAATACAACCTCAGTTAGTTAGGCCGGTAGGTCAGCCCAAATGGAACAAAGCCGACAAGATTCTAATCATTATAACTTGTGTTTTTATGAACATAGCCATAAGTGGTGAACCATGTAATTTATTTTCTTGCATATTTAACATATTACAACTTACAATTTATACTTGTGATTTGCACTTCGAATGTGAAATTATTTATAATTCTACTTACTACTACATTTCTTACATTTTCATAACATTATTTTTACTTTATTATTATTATCATATTACTCCGTCATTTACCGTTTATTTGATATAATATATATAATAAAATCAAGAACTAATCGTCTGTTCATATTTTAATTTAAATTAGTGAAAATAATTTGGATGGTTTGAATTTTCTATAGATAGAATATGTATCGCGACTTTTACATCAATAATGACCTTTTCTCTTCTAAATTTGGTTCAATAGGATGCTAGAAAAAGTTTGTAAAAGTTTTCGAGAAATTGCGTTAGGTGTCATAACTTTTTCAGACGGTGTTTATTACATTTTGAGTGAAGTAAAGTGTGTTTATTATATTTTAAATGAAGTAAAGTGTGTTGGAACATATTAGATTAAAAAATTGCGGACATTGTGTTGTCCAGCTCCAATGAATAAGAATCTTCCACAAAGATGATCTAAATTTTCTTCCATACGTATTAAGATGCATCAAGATGAATCAGTATCTCGATTGTATCTAAAATCAGTTTAGGCGATGTGAGAGTGATATCAACGTTAGTGTCCATTTCAACCAAGGACACGAGTCGACATAAGTCGTGAGGTTTTTGTTGGTTACCACGATATCCATTTCAACATATCGTCTCTTACGTCAATATAGTTTTATCCATGTGGAAATTTTCGAGTATACATGACAACCATCGATAACATGTTTCAAGATGAAACTCTCAAGGTTAATATAGAGGGTGGAAGCTATGTCAAGTAAATAACATTCAATTGGGACCATAAGCTTCGGAATGCAGTTGCAAGAGAACAATGACGGCACACGGTCACGATGAACATAGTCCTAAGTTACAAAAGAAAACTTGGCGACTTATTATGACTGAAAGAACCAACGAAAATGCACAGCTTGTGCAGAGGTGCACTGCCAGTAGGCTTCGATTAGAAAATTTGAACCTACATAGCGAATCACCCATAGTTCCGATATCATAACTGATTGTCCCCTTGAGAGCACCAGCTCTGGCACGAATAAGAGTGAGAAACTATAGCATCGCGCTGAAATAGATAAATCCTCAAGGAACTATTACGAACATCATCATCAAGGACATGTCAGATGAGGCTACAGCTAAAAATGGTAGAGAAAAAGGCTACTGACATTCATGAAATAGAGTAAAAATCTGATAACTCTCTAAGGATCAAAATCGGAATGCATGTCTCATTTTCGGCCAGTGATTGAATTCATCTGGCATGATGAAAGAAAGTGGTTCATATGAATTGGTAATGCCGAAGGAACAATGGAAATCTTCTCTATAACAATTTGTACACCTTTTGATGACTATCGGGAAAAGCCTCTTTCCCCCGCATCCCTCAATCAGATCAAAGCCCTTTAAATCGCGTATACTGTAAACCACGTTCAGTCAGTGGTGGAGATACTTTTTAACAGAACCGGGTAGCTTGGCAAGAACCAAGCCTTTGTACTGTCCGCACGCTTCCCGTGCGTGCTCTACAAACTTGTCGACTTCGTCATCATGTTGTTCGTAAAAGTAGGGAACAGTAAAAGCTGAAAGTAAAGCTGAAAACAAAATATAAAATAAAATTAGCGACGAGTTAACAAACAAGACATAATAATTGCCACCGTAGTATCTGTCCATGTTTCTTCATGGACACATACTACGCTATGAATCTGTGCTTCTGAACTTCTGTTCATGAATGCCTTAAGTATTTGGTTCTTTGACAGTCTAGATTTGGATGCAAGAGTTCCTGAGATAACTCGTAAATATTAGCGTAACCTACCAAGCCATGCACGCAGAGCCAATAGGGGGCTACTTTTATGGACTAGTACTTTGGTCGATTCTCTCAACATATTGAGATCAGCCTACTTACCCAGCATTATCAAGGTTTGCAACGAGTATCCTCCAAGAAACTTCATGAAGCGCAAGACCACCAATGACTGCATTTTAGTAACACCGTGTTAGAGAAGACGCGGAACTCTGACGATAATAATCTTTTGTAAGCTGTCTGCGAATACGGTATACACTACGAAGGCTCTCATGTGATCAGAGAGACACAAAGCCTACATCCTAATTCTAGTGAAACTCAAAACCATATCTTCCACGATTACGAACTAAATCAGTAGATTCTTACATATTTGTACGGAGAATATTCCCACCACCAAACCACATACCTTAAAAAACAAAGACCAGCTTTCCCCTTTTTGTAGCGTGGAAACAATACCAGCACCTTGATTCCAAATAGACCCCAAAGCGAGTGCCACGCGCTCTGCCTTCTCTTCAGGTATTTGGAACTCAGAGAGTGGTGGAATTCTAGGAACAGTCACTCCGAACCTGGAACCGTAAAGACGAAATGCAAGGTAAACAAGAACGACATAAACCCATCAACGCATAAGTTGAAAGAAAAGGACAATCATTGTGTAGTACAAACTGGTATATCTATTTTCAAACACAGTGAATTGTAGAGCCAGAATAACAAATAGCTGCAGTTAATTTCACTAAGTGCATGTCATTTCCCAATTGGCTAAAAAGAGGAAGACACCAGAGCCACATCGATCTGTTTGTCAAAACGTACAATGATTCAGGAAGACGGCTGTAGATAAAGAGAACAATGAGACCCATGTAGGCAAAGTTTGCCAAAAGAGTTATCAACGTGTAGCCTGATGCAAGGAACAAATAAGCGAGAAATGAAAGGCCGGATAATACGGTCAACGTTTGTCTGGTATCAGTCCAAAGGAGGACATCTGCAACTGCAAGCCCATAGCAAAGCCAGAAGATTAGAGCCAGTTATATATACAAAGCCTATATACATGATATTGGACGAAACGAGTGACAGGTCTTGAAGATCTTCACGAGTTGACATATTCATGATGAGCCATGAAATATTTATGTACAGCTCGTAGAGTATGTTGGAAGAGAACCAATAGATAGGCTAGCCAAACATGATTTCCTCTCTTCAATAACTTCCACGCCTCAGTTGCAATCGAAAGATTGCACAAAGCGTACATAATTGCACGAAGAATGAGATGCGCTGGAAGATTAAATGTATTTCTAGACAGAAGAGAGGGACATGTAGGATGGAGAGAATAAGCAGTAGTAATTATGAGCCAATTTGTAGCGCATGCTCGTGCTCTGTAACCATCGAAGTCTAGTAACAACTAGCCAAAATGCACATATATAAACACAAGACGATGTGGGTCTCTCTTGGCTATAGAAGCCCATGTGATTATTTGAATGTCCAAAATACTTTCAGCGTCCTGGTGATGAATAATCGACATCTACGCTACAGAGAAACATGGGCAGACAGCAACCCGCTAGTCTAACAACGGCTTACCTGTTTCACTGCCTAACATTAACCTTGTCTTTGAAGGGCCACTCCTCTCTTTGATTTTTGGTGCTTCTTGTACCTCGGCTCTCAAGTGCGGGTACGACGCAATGGTTCGCTTGATTCCCTCCTGCATGAGGCCATTTTTAATATGCAAACTGAGCAGCAAATCTTGAGATGGATAATTCATCTGGTCAAGTAGATGTAGCTAAGACAACGAATGTTTTAGAGTTTGTTGTGCTTTTGGGAAAATATCCAACAGTTACACCACTCGAATATGATTGTGAACACACGACAGCTTTCAACCAAGCTACCTACGTAAGATAAGCCTCTGGTACGAAGGTTAATTACATATATGAAAAGAAGAACTCTTCCTCAATAATTCGGACATGCCATTATACAGCTTAAAAAGATTGTTATCTCACAAGCAGGTAAGAAGAAAGTGCAAAAGATAATCGAGTTTTTTACGTCCAAACCACTGTTAGTCACTTACGTGCAGTGGTACAGGCGGGTCGTATCCCAGAAGCTTCTTAGCTCTTGAGATATTAAAAGTACGAGGGGTGCTCATGATTCGAAGGCGCGTGGGGGTAAACTGAGATGGGGGCACTCCAAAAGGTGCTAGACGTTTGCAGACCCAGTCAACCAAATACGCAAACGGCATCAACAGTTTCACCGGGAGGCAATATTTTGGACTGTAAACAGGAAAGAAAAGAATATTATGGTCATTGAATATGACAAATGCAAGCAAACATAATATCTGATGCAAGTAACACCACTTGATTGTAAGTTTACCTTGGATAACCAAGGCCTTCCAAGACCAGGACAAAGAACTCCCAGAACCTAATCGGTTCTCCATTTGTGATAAAGTATGCCTGTCATACAAATTTCCAAAAAGTTACTCTTGATCAACTGCGACGAGGTTCACATGACGAGGTGCACGCTGGATAGAACAACAAATTATGACCACGTCGATCCATTCTCGCTGACTACACGACAGCGTCCAGTTGGAGCCAAATTACAAAAAAATTCACACCTTGCCAGCTGCAGCCATTTCTCCCTCATCCTCAGGCCTCAACGAGTTATCCGCACAAATGTGAGCATTTGCGACATTCTCGACGTATGTCCAGTCGAACATATTTTTGCCATCACCGATAATGAACTGATACACATAGACACTTGTTAGATGTGTCTTTCCAACATGATCATGTATTGGACATCCGCAATCTGCAATCCGGATTGGACTAAATACCAGCTGTAATTCAAAATCACAGCATAGTCTTCAAGAGGAACAAAACATCTGAGGTATCACGGGTGCTGCCTAAATGATGTCAAACGTAAAGAAGCGTGAAGACGAAGACCAAAAAGCCGAGAAATCTATGGCAACAGAACCGAAACTAAACGGCAACTAAAAACAAACAAATATACGCAAACGTGCAGATAAAAAAAAAAAGGTGGAAGATAAAAGCGAGTCGAAATACAAATTCTGGTTACTAAGAGGGCAGTAAAAGGCCAGTCGGACACAAGAAAGGCATCCACTGACCATCAACAGTACTTGAACGAGAAGTGTCGAACTCCGACCACACACAACGCTACTTAATCAGTGAATACCGAGATGCATAGGTTTCCGCTCTGGACCGCAGGGAGCCAAGAATGACTAGAAGCCCAACCAGCTAATATGTCAACTAACTAACCAACAAACCAACCAACAAATATAGACGGCTGTTGCCCACAGCTATGTCATATATTGCCTAACTCTATCTACCTGAAGGCAACGATAAAGCCAAATAGATCTGATCTATTCAAGAATTGCGTTTCAAGAGTTGTGTCTGTGTTCTGTGAAGATGACATCTCCATACGCCTCGTGTTGAGGCCCCTTGAGTTGAGGCCCCTAGAGATGTCATCTTCACAGAACACAGACACAACTCTTGAAATGCAACTCTTTGAAACGCAGTAAAAGTTCTTGAAACTTCAAAAATTTCAAGAAAGCAAGAAATTTTCGTACTCCCCGTTCAATTCGACGCTAGAGGCACTGAATATCGCCCAACAGTCTCTCCAGCGTTTGCAACAGTGTGGGCTGGTGCAGAACTCAGACAGTAAAGTGAACGCGTTCAGAAAGGAGGTGCAGTGCAGAGGAAAAGCTATCAAGAGTCAAAAAGGAAGTGTGCTCTGATACCATATTAAATAGATCAACTCACACAGACACTGAGTTCTGGTGAAGTATGAATAGTGTGTTATATGGGAGTGAACTCGGATGGGGGTTAATATACCCAATCCGAGAGATACAGGACCCTAAACCTTAATGGACACAGCGGCTGGGCTGATCGTGACAGTGGTCGTGACACTTAGTCACGACCACTAACTATAATACAAAGTCCACACGTTCTTTGTCACGAGTGTACGGAGGAGAAGTAGTGGGTAGTAATACTTCTAACATAAAGGTCTGTAGAAAATATAGGTATATAGGTTTTCAGAAACAAATCTATAATCTTAAATATACTGACTCTCATTTTGAGCCCACATGAGCACATAGGTCAGAGTTACTGACCTTTAACTTGCCAGATTTTGCGGCTTCAACAGCTTTAGGTACACTCAATCTGTCTCCAGGGCCGAAAATTCCACTAGGCCGGATTGCACATGTAAGTAACCCATTCTTCCCATTAGAGCTAAGCACGACCGCCTCAGCCTGGGCCTTTGCTTCGGAGTAAAAATCATTGTGCTGCCATACAGGTAAATAAGCCCCGTCAATACTTAGTCAACATTCACATTCATATTCTAGTGAATATTTTGAACCTTTCCAATTGTCTTCATGAGTCATCACTAGAACAAAAATAAAAGTTTTGTGGGCTTTCATTGGCTGAATCAAGATACCTGCATTTTGTCAGAGTTCTGGCCTGACAAGCATAACTCGTGATGATGAAGTAGCATATATCATGAATTAAAAAGGAGGGGACTTTGAGAAGAAAGTATGTAATCCAACCTTGTCTGGAATTGGCAGGGACTCGTCAGCGTTCACAATTGGAGTTTTACCATCAAAGACCACGCTAGGAGAACTAGTGTAAATCAGCTTCCTCACTCCATGTTCAATACATGCATCAACAACATTTCGAGTTCCTGCACATAGGATTGATCATCAGTATGTCCAGTAAAACGGACTTATAAGACGGTAAAAGTGCTACGGTATTCTCTCAGTTGCTAAGCGTCATACGATTGCTTGAGCTGAGACATGAGTCTCAATGAAAAAAAAATACTAAGATATTTAATCCTTTTTAAATATCTGAGACTTTCCATGAGAAGATATGGCTAAACTTTTAAGCGTCCAGGCTTTCCGCCAGGTTCAACTCTGGAATGCAGGTAAGATTAAAATAACAATTACTTGGAGGTAAGCACACATAAGCCCACACCTGAAGCTCTAAATGTGTTTCTGCAGAGCATGAGTCTTCGACACGTCAGATTATCCCTCATAAAACTGCTTTCAAAGTTGCATAAGACACCGAAGAAAAAGTCTGAAGATGTCTAGAACACAATGAAATGAATCACAAACCTTTGACTGTGACCTCGTAGTGAAGTTCAAACTTGTTAATGCTCGAATCAGGAGCCGCCATGTGAAAGACCACATCGACGCCCTTACAAACTGTTCAGCAAAGCAGCTCATAAGAATTTGTGCACTGATCGATATCAAACAACCCCTATGTTTCAAGCAAAATAACTCGTCCCACGACATCCGTGAGTATCATGTTTTCGAAATGCAAGTCGCGGAATGAAAAAAAGAAGCATTTCAAGACTCAAGAAGAAACCGAAGGAGGCACAAGCGCCCGAGAAACTTATATTACATCAAAGTGATTTGAAGACCAGAAAACACATTTTGAGAAACAAATCAATGTACGGGAGGGTTAAACGCAAAGAGCTAAAGGAGAAACTTAACACACCACAGCAGTCACATTCCCAGATATTATATCGAAATTTGACCCTGCTGAATAAGGTCAGTGGCACAACGAAGCTCGTTCTTTGTTGTCCAAGAATCAAAACACGAACTCAGATTCCCAAAAAGAAAAAATCAGATCGACGTACAGACCTCGCTCAGACAACCTCAGGAGGCAATGTCAGGCCTGCAAGTAATCCCAAATACGCCAAAGGAAGGAAACAGACTAAACGATCCATACCGTCAAAAACCTGTTGTCGATTTGTCAAATCCGCAGAAACGTATGCAACTCGATTATCAGCAAAAGCTTGACCGAGAATTCCTTCGAGCTCCTCCTCCGAGAGGGTCATCTGAGGAGCCAGATCCATGATCCGAATATGATACTCGGTCTTCTGAATCAGCTGGTTCACTAGATGCCGAGCAGCGAAGCCCCTTCCGCCGGTGACCAGAGCGACTTCATCATCGAAACCCATGGCTGGCACGGCCTGCGGGTGATTGTCGACGCCGTCGCTCGTCCGGTCGAATGTGTGCAACTAGATCCCGTCCCCTCCCCTCCCCTCCCCTTGCTCGAGGGTGCACGCACGAGTGCAGGAATGGAGATCGGGATTGAGAGCGCGAGCAAAGCTTTGAAGAGAATGAAATCTGCCACAAGCTCCAGCGCCTGCCTGCGCCAGATCCAAACAAACGGAGAATCACGCCGGTAACCGAGACTGCAACAGAAACGCCTCCTCTTTCCGTCGTCCGTCTGTCGGTGTTGACCCGCCGTATTATGAGCCTCTAGCCTCTAGCCTCTCGCTATAAGAACTACACAACCCCCACCCCCCCGGCGGATCGACCTGCCGGCAGGCACATCGTGCGGCGCCAGCCCGTCCCCTGTAAGCACCATCCCCTGTACGTTTCCATCGGATTTTGAATTTTGTTTGACCCCTGAGGACTTGTATGCGTCATACCCTCGGGAGCATGCATCGTGCGCGCTCAGCCTGCATCCCTCGAGTCCTCGCCTTTGTACGCACGGCTTCGTATTTACCTCGACTTTTTCCTCATCAGGTACTCGAAACCGCCCTTCGGACTCTTCAAGTCATTGTTGCTCTAATTTCCAAACTCCCTATTCGTGGAGCAGCATTCTTTCTAGATCGAGGGCAGGCCAACACTCCAAGAGTTTAATGGCTAGAACTCTAATATTCGCATTCCGTGAGTATTTCGGATTTCCTCTCTACACGCAACTTGAGTAAGGTCCCACGAAGCCATCCCACACTCTCGGAGTTCCTTGACAGACTGGAGCCTGGTAGTGTCAACGGGTTGTGCCATAGTCTCTTATCTACCGTCACGTCAGGTTAAGTCTTCTCATATCTTACGGGCACCACGGTCTGCAATGAAGCTTCTCCTATGGTGGAAAGCAAGACTCATACTCACTGCCAATTTCAGTGATAGCTCCAACTCATCCCAACGCATTTTTTTGATAGATGTGAGAACATGTTCCATGCAGACGACGATGACGTTTTGGTATAAGGGATATCTCCTCAGGAGGGTTGGTAGAGGACAGTGGCCACATGGAAGAGCACAAGCTGCTGCAAACACCACGGTGCAGGGCAGTACGTACTGTGCCCTACATGGTGGAATTCCTAAATCTATTGTGGATGTTGTGCCCATTCCCGCATCTCCCAAGCACATAAGCATATCCATCAACTACGACACAGTATTGATGATGCCATTGACCAGGAACTTGTTACTCGACAACCAGCTTACTATTCCACTTTATGCTAGCAAATAAGTCTGACAATGAGAGCCACAAACAACACCATAACGGTACATTGTGTAACTCAGGGCACCAAGCTTTAGCCCTGAAATCAATGGATTTATAAGTTTGGTTCACACAAAAGATAGAAACCAAGGCAGAAGCACATAATCGTATCTTTTCATATCGTCATATTTGTCATAAGGTAATGCCATCATGCAAGAGACTGTCCATGAGGAGTATCAATGAGAGCATTGATCCATTTCTCTCCATGAACACTTTGTGGGCAAGTTTTTGCAAGGTGGAATTCATCCAGAGATTTCACAACTACATCAAATGCTGATGAATACAACGTTCACGACTCACTTGCTTGTGGCAGGACCACAAATTTACAGCATCTGCAAGAACCATAATGGACCGAATTTTTGAAGTAACCAACAGTGAACCTGCCTTAAACTACAAAGAAAGTCTAAGGTCTCCAGATCAATGTTTGATGACGACATCAGTAATGGCCAGTCTCTGCACTCTCTTTGCGCAAAAGACTGACACTCAAAATGATTCAAGGCCAATTCAAAGTTACTTATAGTATGGCGCATGCAGATCTTGTACCTACTGCATGCTGCTCAAACGCTGCTCGAAGCAATGGACCACTCAAGCGTTTCTCCAGCACACATTGGAACAACTTTACCAGATCCGAAACTATATTCGAATGGCACATTCATCGAAACTTTCTCCAATGTGATAGTACTTGTGTTTCTGGGAAGTCTGTAGAAATCAGGACCGTTGCAACTAGCAAACGCCTCCAGCTTTTCTAGTGCACCAGCCTGGAAGCAAGAACCAAGGCCGTGAGTCATGAAGAAAAATAAAATGTGAAGGTCGATAGTAGCTAAATTTGGCATCACTAGAAGTTCACGGAGAAGTGTCATGGGATAGTAGTCACAAAAGGGGAACGTGCAGCGAACACAAGGTTGGTGATATTTAGTAGTGCTCACTATCTCAATATCATCAGTGCATTTTCGTTCCCGTAGCAAGCGAATAGGCCTACAAGTACACGCTAGTCGCAAGAGGAGTAAAATGTTATCTCGAAATCCTCGACAATTTACGATAGAAGAGCCAGTTGTATGTTGTGACTCATACTCGCGAACACGAACCACATCCTGGAGATGTAAATCTTATATGGCATGCAATAGAAGCAGAAGGCAAGCGCAAACCAGCAAAACATTATACATGTACTTGAGTACATAAAAGAGTGAAAAATATCAGAAAATTAGTAAAAAAGGTTGTAACCTGGAGGAACCACAACGTTCATATATGAAGAAATAGATAATTGGGAGCAGAACGGGAGAAGATGAAATCACCAAGTATAGATGCAGAAAATATCAATCAAGGTTAAGAACAAAAGGCAAGAGACATACTGTTAAATGAAAACGGTGCCATTCACGAATAGTTGGAGTTCGTGTCTTACTTTTTATCTTACTTCTTTATTCAAAGATGTGATGCCCACTCATCTCACCTCTTCTACTCAAAAAGAGTCCTGATCTTTAAGTAGATGCTGATTGAAGTAAACAAGAGGTCAAGAAGCTTACTTGCTCAAAAACTCGAGCGTATAGAGCCAAAGCTATGGGAGCTGAGTAGATACCAGCACATCCACAGGAGGCCTCCTTTGTGTTTCGTTCATGTGGAGCGCTATCGGTTCCGAGAAAGTACTTCGCACTGCCACTAGTGACAGCAGAAACTAGCGCTTGTCCTTAATTCAGCAAAATGCAAACAAGAAGTTTAATCACCAGTCAATGCATAATGATGGTGAATATGAGAGAAAATGATGAGCTGTAAGACGAGTTAATATGTCAGAAGCCACTACATTGGTCTATACAATGCGGCTGTGATGGGACTGCGGGAGTGACAACGGTCTTTTTCACAGCAGCTACGATGACCATGCTGTTGCGATGATGGTCTCGGCAATACACCATACAGAGAGGCAAACATAATGGTCGTGGCAAAGTGTCCACATTTACCGAAAAGAACTTAACTGTGTTTCTCCCTCTTTAGGACAGGTAAACAATAATTGTGGGGTCGTATTCCACCGGTAAAGATTGCATTTCTGTTCAACAGCAAATGTTGTGGTGTAACCGTTGCAGCTATGGATCCTGACCAAGGGCAATGCAGAAAATCATGAGGCATGTCCACAATAAAACTCACTTATCGTGAAAGAATATAAAGGGCAAGACATCCGGCTTCGTTTTTTACGGGTCCATTTCTTCATCTTCCTTCATGAATTACTCTCAGGGTATTACGATGCATTCAAGAAACAGGTTCCTATTTCTTGTGTGGAAAGTAGAAAGTGACACTGGTTCATTTTCTTCGATTGAACATGGCAGCGAAGATCCGAACAGCAAGATGAAAACTTTGCAGTCAAAAATCAGTCCCACATCAATCCTTACCACGTCGTTCCTGAACACTTGAGACAAAGTCTATGAGATTTAGTGAAGATAAATCATCAGATCGCTCTAGATACATCCCCTACTTGTCAGTGGTACATACATGGGTCCTTGCACTACCGTTTGGGCTTGATTCGACAAATTCCACAGCATCTTTGGTGGTGATGTGCTCCATAACGATTCTGAGTTGTGGTATTAACTTGACGAGAGGTGAAAGCACAGTTTCAATAAAAACTCGCTCTCGATCAAAGATATCAACAGAGGAATCTGCAACCTCCCCATGAACCTGCGAAACTCAAACGTCAAGGAGTATAGTACTTCACTTGCTTAAAAGTAGAAGGGCTATGTTCCCTCGAACAAGAATGGTCAGTTAACTATCCTGCGAACTGCTAATCGGATTTTTGAGCAGAATGACAGAATCTGAATGGATATCCCTGCTCGTGACAAACATATTTACCCATCAACAATAGACTTCGAAATTTGGAGGATTTCCCTGCACAAGTGAAACACTCGAGGGATACATTACCAATAAGGGGAGGCCTTGCGCCGCCATCTCTTCCAGCACTGGCATGCATTTATTAAAGAGATCCGTGACTCCTGCTTGTGAATTTGTGGTTGCCCCAGCTGGATACAACTTCACAGCAACTACCACACCACTTCTCTCTGCGGACAGGTTCATGATTATAAATACTTCCTCATACAATAGTCTTCTCCGCTTCTTTTCACTTGATCTCGAGCCTAAGCAAAAGATGTCAGCTTTAAAACCTAATATCTCTGGGTATAAGGGTCCCTCATATTACAGTCTCAAGAAGGGTACGAAAGGAAAATCTGGAATTGGAAGACACAAGATGCCTTACTTGCCAGCTTGATCTCCTCAGTAGTTGTAGAATCAGTGAGGTATAAGGTCATCAACGGCTCGAATCCCGAATTGCTGGGCAATACTGAAAGAATGCGCTCTCGATATGCGACGGCTTGGGTGACGGTAGTAACTGGGGGCTTCAAGTTAGGCATTATGATGGCTCTCTTGAATGTAGATGCGCTGCACACAGACAAATGAAAGGTAAGCTATAACAGCTATAACAGAAAGGTAAAATCAAATTTATTAACATATTTGGCCAGCATGCACTAAGCACTTACCTGTGAGGCACCACGGAAGAAAGAACATCTCCATCACGTAGGTGGAGATGCCAATCATCAGGTCTGATGATTGTAAGTAGCTGCGTCTTGTTTGACATTCGATCGTCTTGAGACTTCTTCAAAACTTCCGTTGACTGCACACTGCAACATGGGTGGATATTCTTTGTAATCGGAAAGGAAATAATATTAGCTTATCGAAGGGAAGCTGTTAGCTAATGATCAAACCTGAAAATTCGTGAAATAATTCAGCTGACAACTGGTAGGAAACATGGACAAGAAGAAAAAAATTAATCAACTTTCTCAGGGTTCAATCGTAAAACACTGCTGAAGAGACACCAACTGACTCTACTTTACTGGAAAACACACAATTTGCTTGAGAACGTTGTGAAGTAACAACTGAGACCAAGTACAAACGTTGAGAGTAACATTGAGCGGAGCAGGTGTCATCTTTGTACTCGTTAAATGACCGTTTGAAGGGTCAGTAAGAATGTAAAACACAATTGGCAGTACCGTGATATCATGCTTACGTAGTTAGATTTGCATCATAATACTGTGATGTCATCAAGCAGACGGCCGAGAACTTTTATGGGACATAAGTACATGATGCTGAAAAACCATACGACCGACAGCGATCAGGTAAATTACCACTAAGCCAAATTTATAATGCTACGAATTCGGTTTGACATAATATTCATTCCAGAATTTTTCGGATGGGTACAAAAGCAGTGGCTCATTAAGACTAACTACTTACAATGTCAATAGTGCATATGCTCCGTTCGTGAGCGATGACAAACTTTCAAGAAATAAATTGCATCAACATAAGGGGCTGCCTTAGGATTGATCAAACTTTAGAAACGTAATATCCAAGATTTGTTTACCCAGGATCAAGTTTGCTATCGGCGAATCAAAGTTTACCGAAATGCGAATTCAGAGGTTCAGAATAGCTCTGACCTTTGCAGCTCGCAAAGAAATTATAGATTTCCCAAAGTGCCGCCTTCCTTCTGAAGAACAGATATTGAAACAAGCAAACACTGGTCTCAGGAGACACAATCCAATCCTTGGCAATCCGAAGGAGATATAGAGAAATCAACGAAACATCACTCTGCCAGAATTGGACTAATATGGACAAACTGAAGATCTTGCTTATAGTAGAAGCGCGCACTCTGTGTTTCGAGATGACGACGGAATGAGCAGTGTAAAGAACAGATATGGTGTAGCTGAATGACTTCCATCGGACCAGCTTCGTGTATTACGGAATTTTTGAAAAGTCACAAGACGTCTTCGAGACTTCAAGTTACTTGCTAGCAGATATCAATGTGTGCAGGAGACAGAGAAAATAATCCTATCGCCCTGATCAGACTCGAGTCCCGCTTTTCTGTCACTTTCTCTTAGCTTGCAGCTTTTCTTTCCTACACCGAGCCCGCCAGTGGAAAGAAAATTGGGCAGCCGAAGCGCGTCAACCCAGTTTAATCCGGATTCTGCTATTGCTAGCTTAGTGGTCTACTGACGGGAACTCAATTCCAAATGTCAGCACCCTAACCACGTATTTAAAAACGACACGGTTTGAGGCCAGAGACAACTGTGACGAACTTTCACTGAAGTACAATACACTGCACTGCTGAGTATTTACTGTACTGTACATTATTCCCCTTCATTACGATCATTCATGAGAACATGGTAAATGATCAAACCCGGGGGACACAGAGGTCAAAAGACTGAAAAACACAACAACATGATATACTTATACATGATATACACATCGATGACACAATCCATCGATTTCTGATTTCACTTCAGATGAGCCAAGATTTGTATATCAGTAGTGGTTTGTCTTTTTCTGGATGTGATAATTAAATTCTCACTTATTAAAACTAGCAAAAAACTGGTGTCCGAAAATTCTCTATATTTCATGGTTGGGTTACGGCTCACGGAAAGTTTATTAGAACCTTTTATGATCCCATCCAAACGCATCCGTAATTTACATTCAAAAATCTTTCGAATCCGACAAATTTCAATTTCAATGCGATTCATCGTGCGTGTCATCCTTGCGCGCAGGGGCCATGCTAATATTCTCTTTATTGTTCCAATTTTAACTGATGTCCCCGAAGGGACATCAGTTAAAATCAGGCGATCTGGGGAGAGACATATAATCTTCTTCTTCATATATTAGTCAGACTAGAATCGGACTCTCGATAATGAGGGGTGGAAGGTACGAAACATGAAGACTTATTACTAATGCAAGATAGTTTTCTTAGCACCTGAGTACAAAATTCGGGTATATGTGTTCATGGATGGATGGATTAGCTTCTATGGAGGCATTTTTTAGCATGTCGAGAAGCTGGTGAACTTAGAGATCCAAGGTCAAGTTTTCGAGTAGGTAATAATCTTTGACGTGTTAGAATTTACTGCTAAATAACCATGTTACAAATACTCGGATTGGAACATGGGTGAGAAGATGGTGAACTTCGAGATCCACGGCCAAGTTTTCGAGAAGATAATAATCTTTGATGAGTTAGAATTTACTACATAATAACCAGGTTACAGGAACTAGTATTGAGGCCTGCATGGTAAAATGAGTCGTGTTGGTTCCAGCAACTGTTTTGAGTTTTGCAAGCTACCATCAAATATTTTTCTTAGTATATCATGAACAAGAATTATTCGGAGTATTGTATAGTAGACACTTCATGCCAAACATTGATGACCTGCATGGCAAAATAAGTCATGTTGGTTCTAAGAAGTGTTTTGGCTTTTGCAAGCTACCATCAAATACTTTTCTTAGTTTATCATGAACAAGAGTTATATGAGTATAGTAGACACTTCATGCCCAACATTGATGAAAGGAGATCACTTCGTTACCCAAATATAGGTTTGCTTCGAGCTGCTAAGAGAGCGCATGGTGAGAATTTTCTTCACATTTAGCTTCTTTCGAAAGCTGCTTCACATACAAGTGCTTCGACCGAGATCTCATACATGGATCCGAATCAGAGTGATACATTTGCCCTACGTGTTTTAACATTCAATTTAGGCAGCTTGCCAGAAATATCATTACTCTTACTATTCCTATGCCTCTCAAAGCTACTTCGTCCCATGCCTACTCACCGTCTCCAAAGTCATTATGAAGGATCATTTGCTCAGGTTAGGATGGCGACAACCATATCCCCAGAGACAAATCTCCTACTTCCAAACCGTTGTTTGTTCAGTTTCGACAAACTTCGGGAGTTTCCCTTCGAGATTCAGCCATGCACTTCGTTCGCCATTGAAATGATTAGTGTAAACTCCTCTGCCTGAGCTCCTCGAAAACTGTGAATGAGCCATAAAAGAACCCACGTGCTAGAGGTGGGACCATGTTAATTGTGTCATGTTTCTTAATTGTACAAAGAGAATTTGCAAAGATTAGATACACAAGATTGGGAAAGAAATGAGACAAGTGATGTTTAACCGTCTTCATCATCTTCACAATCATAATCATCTTCGTCTGGATGCATAGTTGTATGCCTATCTTGTAAATGTCCTACCCCTAATTGTGGTATATCTACACTGAGAGTCGGTGGCCAGCTTGGAGGGGGTTTTTGTTGTTCCGATTCACTCTCTTGTTCTTCTTCCTCCTCTTTGACCTCTTTGTGGTGGGCTACAGTCGCTACATCACCATTTTCATCTAAATCCAGATTCAGATCGAACTCAAATCTTATTTGAGGTCGTCCTGTCGCAGATGATGCCACGGGTTCTAATGTAGGGGCATCTTCTTCTTTTGCCCTAACAGCGATTGTCTCTAGAGTAACCCTCTCAGCGGATCTCTCCAGCGGAGGTGGCGGGCTCAAGTCAGTCTCGGACTCTTCAAACTTCTCCACATGGACCCTCGTTCCATTCCTTCCTCTTCCTCTGCCCCGCCCTCTACCGCGTCCCCTACCAGGGGTCGTTGGCTGGATTTCCTGAATTGTAAATTAAATACCATCACATCAGCGAAAGAAAAATGCACAAACATACTTTATGACTGCCTTCACTTCCTATACGCGCCGCATCGCAAGACAGCTGGTGAATACAGACAGGGTAAATAGAGCTACCTGGATAACCAAATTGCCTGTCAGCTATTAGAAAGGTCGGAGGCATCTATTCTAGAGGCAGATAGAGAGAGATTGGCAAAAAGCAGGTGTTTGCAGTATATCGAAAATAATGCACCCTGCTTTTCCTGCTCCATCTGCTGTAACTTGGCCAACAATTCAACACTTTTTTGCAGGTAAACAGTATATTGAATATTATAGGTGATCGACATCGCAGGCAGAGCAACATATGATGTAATCGACAACCGCAGCCAACATTAGTGAACAGCTTTGGCTAAATTTACTTACAACTAATAACCATTTTAAAAAACTTACCGCTTTTGGCCGTTTCACAACATCCTCCTCTTCACTGTCATCATTGTCTCCGTCAGAAACCTTTCTGCAGGGAAAAATGCAAAGAAAACAAAAGAAAAAGCACAGTGGTGAGCAGAACAAAACTTTTACTTGCAGGTGAATAGCCCACCTACACTTACAAATAATGAGTACAGAAGCGGTATATAAGAGCGAAGTTGTTTGAAAAGTACACTACGGTCGGCTCGACCCCTTCATAACTCGTGGGAGAGACGCAGATGACTCTTGCGTACGAACAGTGAGTATATGTATGCTCACCTCCTCCTTCCACCGTTTCTCTCCTCTGAGTTAATGTCGGTTCCAATATCAGGTACCTTAGCGACAATCTCCTCCAAAAAGTCAAAGACGGTGTTTTGTTGTACACACTGCTTCCTGCAAACATATCCGACCACAATAGGGTCAAGAAAGAAGTTTCTTGCTTACAACGTAAATCAGCGAGCATATCTTTACCGCAAGAGTAGCAACCTGCATAAACGTTGCACAAAACGTAGAAGAAGATATGCTCAGCACATTTTCTGGTTGTTCTAGTTTATCTAACCTAGTTCATTGCTATTATATTTTGAGGAGATAGTAGACGAGGTAGAACATGAAGTGATCAGCTTAGTACTTACAAATGCAGGGCGCTCATGGTTTTGGCTCCCCTTCTGAGGGTAATTTCATAAGTCTTGTCACATAAATTTTGAAGAAAAAGCTCAAGAGCCTTGGCTGCAACACAGACGTGCTAAAGATGAGAGGGTCGGCCAAATCCAGATTTTTGCACTGAATCATGCTATAGAGGCCTTTCTTCTACTACAGATCCAAGAAAGACGTGAAAAACGATATTTCTTACAAATCAGAACGGGCGTCGCCATTGCTATCTTTCCGACTTCTTCATCCGCCTGCATGATCTTCTTGATTCGAGCCTGCGTCCGTCGAGAAGCATGAAGTATAGAACACCGAAAGTAAAATTATTGCTCATTCGTGGAGAACAGAGCTAAAAATTAAAACAAGCGAAGAGGATAAATAAGACTGGGTGCTTCCAACTTTTGAGACATTTGAACTTAGAAGAATAAATTGCATTGCAAATATCCAAGTAGACAGAGACAGGGAATCAAGGTGGTATGTAGTAGTAAGCCTAAGGGTCTCATCACAGCTGGCTGCCACATAGGAAGGTTCAATCTACAGATTTCGTGAACCGCTCTAACATGCAATGAAATATAGCGCAGTAGCCAGAGGGCCAACTCACCGCAGGAAAACGGGTATCCAGTTTCTTTTTCATGTTGGACCCTGGTTTTCGAGCCCACAGTAAGTTTCGGAAAAACTCCACTTATAATTTCCGCAAAGCTTCAACCTAATGTCCCCAAAGTGGCAACCCTGGTTCGTAAAGGCCGGCATAAGAAAACCTTCACTCCACTCGAGTCATACCCTGTCGCCTTTCTAACGCATGCGCACAGTTTGCTCGAAACATACGCTGTCGCTCAAGGCCATTCTCGAGGCCTTGCAGTCTCCTTTCCACAGCAATGTTCGGTACCGTACCCTACGCGTGCCTGGAGCACACCACGAACTCCTCTGTCATCGCCATTGCAGAAGAACTGCTACCCCAGAGACCGAGATAAATTCACTCGAGTCTCTCCGTAACACAAGACCAGGCGGCCTACAGACCCATCATCTTTACCCTCTAGTCATTTGAATCTTCCTTCACCCGCCGGCCTCTAGCGCTTTCGCTTCCACAATTACGAAACTACCAGACAGAAAATAAATTCCCTAATTTTCTCAGGACGAAAACGGGGCCAGACACTAACAATCGTCATCCATTAAACACCACCTCCTACACAATCTGCAGCCCAGCGGACCCCAATCGCGCTCGACAGAATCAGAAGTAGATTTCTTGATCAGTGCTGCTTGCTGCTGCTCGACCGACTTGCCTCATCCAGTCTCAGCAACGCGTCCACCTCGACTCTTCTCGTCTCGGCCCGTTCGTTCGACCACCTGCTACAACTTCTCCCCTCCGGACGTTCGGTCGGTCGGTCGTTCTCTCCAGCAACGCTTTCTCCGCGACTGCCCTGGTGCTTTCCTGAGTCTCCTCCTCCTGCCCGTCGACCCGTCGACCTTGTCTCTGGCTTTCTTGCCCGTGGTTTCCTTTCCTTCCACTTCCTGCCCTTCAAAGCCCCGCCCCGTCGACCCTGGTACCGCTCGTTGCTGGCTCTATCTGCGCGCTCTCTCTCTCTCTCCCTCTCCCTCTCTCTCCTCTCTCTCCTCTCTCTCTCGTAGCGTGCTCCCTTCTCTTGTTCCGCTCTTTCTCTCTCGCGCTCGCTCCTTCTCCTCAGGTGTCGAGTCCGTCCTACCGACTGGGCCAGGGGTAGAGCCAGTCTACATGAGCGACTTTGCCAGGTTTTCAAATTTTTTAACCAGCTAACTTTGCCTCTAATCAGGATCTTACCGCCCATTTTTGATCGGACGCCGCCCCTGAGTTCAAGGATCTTTCCATCTATCGGCTTAGATTGGTCTAGTGGCATATCTTCCGGCCTTTGAAACGTTGTCAGAATTTTGACGTGCCGAAACATTTTCCTTGCTGGTGTTTCTTGTCTCTCCTCAACTGTGAGGGCCAAATCGCACCGTCCGTTCCTCGATGTCGATCCGGAGCTCGCCAAAAGGTAAAAAACACGGACGTGATATATTTGGCGATGCCGACGAAAGACTACGAATCTAGGACCGACGCAAGAGGTCAGCCACTGCCCGTGAAAAAAACACCGGCAGTCACTTCCCGGGTATCAGATCAACCGGCGGCGGGAACTTGCTAACCGGAACGGAGTCGTTCGAGCCGCCAGACGCGACCGGTGACCTCATCGCCGGGTCTTACATGAGGCATAGCAGCTCCAGTCTCTTCCTTGGAGACCATGAAGGCAGCCGACGGGACACCTCCCCAAAACCTGTCACTTAATCATCGAACCTCTTACACTCCTTTACTCCCGTTTATTCCGTTTTGTCGTTTTCCCCCTTGGATGGGAACACTAGTTTCTCAAAAGAAATATTGGAAACATATCCTATTAGCAACGTACAATGGTGTACAATGATGTCCAACGTCTCCTTAAAAGTACAATTGAAATTTCGTCGAGCGTTGTTCGTAATTAAAGTTGTCATCCAAACTTTCAATCTGAAAGGAGCATCGCCTCCGCTTTGCCCCATCAAATTACATGAGACCAAAACCAACGTTGAACAGTACACTGAGCCGAACTTGAAATATCTATTCTAATAGCTTCACTACACCGGCAGCGTTATCTAATTTAAACTGGAGGGGCTCATCTGATCGATGTCTAGATAGATCACTGCCTATTGGTTAAACACGTGTGGGAAATTCTACACTTTACAATCAACACCAGCTTCTGATTGAACACTAGATACTCAAATGTGTTCGGACATGTAGAGAGCCCTTTAGTGTACACGTTATCGCACATAAACTCCTAGGTGCCATGGTAATTTTTCCCAACCTTTCATGATATTTCTGGAAGCAACTTCTCTGTTCCTTATTGTAGAATGATGGTTCTGAAAGGCAACAGATTAGAACAACATTGCTTGTTCCATGTGCATCCACGATGCATTGCGGGGCAGAGAACTTTCATTGAGACGTCATATTGAGCACAAATACAAGGTTCACAACTCCTTTACGAAGATTGTGCTACGAACGTCAGAATTTGCTTTCCAACGCCTCAGTCCACCAACATACAGTTAGACCATCACGACACTCTCACTAAGCATGGGAATGGTTCGGCGAGGCCAATTGGTTTTACTCTTATGAAGTGGGCGTTCGTGTCTGATAGGTTAACCGTAAAGACGGAACCATACTTTAAGGTAACCTTTCAGGCAAGTGGCTTCCAACGTGATTTGGGCGAATGAAAGCGTATCTTCATCGCTTCCACGGGTCTCCCGTACATCGGGCACCTCACCATGCAACTTTTAGGTCTCCATCCATTCCATGCCACGTCCAACACTACACCGGCTATACTCAAATCCGGCTACAGAGACACTTTGGATAGTGTAAACCTTTGTGGGGAGAAGTTCGAAGGAGTTGCTGGACCAACGTCGCAATGTTCATTTCGGTAACTTGAACGCTTCCACCACTTCAGTCCCTCCTTTTCCACTGAAATTACTGAGGTCAGGGGCATTGAATTTGCTTCCGACCAGTAAGAATTTCTTAGAGATAAATCTCAACCCACTCTTTTGGTGACATATAAGTGACCCTGGGTTCAAAGAGGTACGATTTCAACAACCATTTTTTCTCAACACTGATTGAAGGAGCAGCGCTGGAAACCATCTTTGATTCTGCTCTCTCCACCATCAAGGAGCTGAAAAACCGAATGCTGGTGGCGTCTAGCCATATAGTATAGCAAAGTTCAAAAAGTTCCTTGGAAATGGACAGGATCGAGAAAAAGGACCCGCCCTTCCAATCCGGTAATTTGAAACTGACATTCCCAGGAGTCAACAATCCAACACGAATGAGTTGGCAGCGTGGACAGCGATATTAACGGGTCAACATACTTTTTAAGGCATGATTCCAACATACAGATGAGATGAAGGACTGCAGTGACTCACTCCAGCGGTTAAATGCGCCTGTTTCAAGGCTCACTTTCAAAACTTGAAACTCATGCACACGAGCATCTATAACTTGGAACCTGAGGTGAGTGAGTCACAACGAACTCCGAAATAGAGTATTTACTAGCTCAAAAGACAAACAGTCTCGGAAACGTGGCCAACGCAGCAGTGATAACTGGCAAAAAAGTGCAAGGACTGACTTCATGTTAGACAAAGGGATACCTTGTGAAGGATACTGAAGGGGAAGACAACGAGTACAAAACAGTTGGACTGGCGACCAGACGGCTGTATTGGTGGAAACAGGGCTCCGAAGCTCCGATTAGCAACACCGAAGCCGCAGGAGTCTGCGAGACTTAATAAATGCTAGTATTTAAGATGAACTTAGTAAGTGAGAACTTGCACAAAAGATCGCAAATAAAGCGCAGAGACCGTTGAAGGGAGACCTTTCCGGTTCACTTGAGACAAAAGTGGCTATTTCTTCAAAAGAACGAAGATCGCCTATACAATGGCAAGTAAACTAAAGATGTCGTCATCGTGATCAAAAGGGCTAGTACCATTGACCTGTCACTTTAGCTTGCACTTTATCATACAAGAGATACCCATAAAAGAAAGTACAGCTCGTCAAGAAAAGAGATCCACTACCCCGAAAGCAAGGTAGATCCCTGTAAGATTTAAACATAAGAGAGACTATACAGTAAGAAAGCCAACGAAAAAACGTGCCCAAAAGTTTTTTCTTTCTTCTCGTTTACCTTGGGTGCATGCAGGAAGCCTTTATTGAAAAAATATTCTGACTACACACAATAACGAACTGGTTTATGTTACATGAGATGAGAACGACAAAAATTACGGAAAAGGTGCATGTGAAAGACTCTTGACGTTACGAGTACCAAATAGTATACTCCAACCTCATAGTAATATCACCTTCAATATGCATCGTAGACTTAGACTCTGGCATTGCTGTCACTGCTGTCCCAATTTTGGTAAAGCAAGGCGGCTGCTGCTCGGGCTGCAGCAGACGAACTATATTTCTTCCTCAATGATGCCAATAGAGCATCATGAGATTCCTGCATTGTTTGAAACAATTTATCCTAATCAATTTACATTACTTGAAGAACCTCTATTTTTAGTAAGTTATGTACCGGTACATCACTTCTCACATAATACATAACAAATATACTCCATACATGTTCAAAGTTAACCAAATCTGTTTTTCTATACTCGATCCTCAACAAAGTCCGCAAATTTCTGTGCACACTGCTCTCAGTGAAGGAAGAAAGAAAACAAGACTACTTGAATCCAACACCCTAAACAACCGAATCTGTAGGCCCAAAAAAAGTTTGCATCATGTTGACACAACAATTTGCTAAAAATCTACAAAAGCGTACAAAATGGGAATGTATATTCTTACCTTCAGCACACGCACCTCTTCTTCAAGAGACGCAGCAGCTTCTTTCTACAGAAATTTCAGAATTAATTAGAACCTGTTGCCAGTAAAGGAAGACTGAATTTTATGTAATAAATAGCTGTAGAATATGTTCGGACCTTATAAAGAGCTAATGAACTAAAGCTTTGGATGCGGGAAAAGCATATCTGGTGGTGATGAACTCAAAAGTAGTAGCTGAAAACGGACATCGGCAACAGGCTACAATTTTCAAAATGCGAGAAAGACATCTTAGGATACGCATCAGTGCTCTTGTTCGCTATATTGACATTTCGGTCCAGCAAGACCCATTTTATTCCTCACCTGCCGACTAATTTTATTTTCTAGCTCTAAGCTTCGCATTCTCTCTTCGGCAAGAGCACGCATGGCAGACATCCGAGTTTGGTTAGCTGCCTGGACTGTTCGGTGCATCTCCTCGACCTGCCTCCTTAAGTCCGACTGCGAACGACAGTAAGGAAAATTTAACGCGTTGCTAAAAGTCGGCCACGCCGCGAGGCAATTGCATATTCGCAAAACTAGAAGCTGTACTACGTCATCACACGAGCGGACAAAAAAAGCCTATATCCACCAGAAAACAGAATTACAACAGGGGAAAAAACAAGGTATCCATAACCACCTGCGCTAACTTCGGGTACCGAGACGTCACAAACGAGACCAAAGCAGACAACGAGGAGCCAGTGATGACGATAAACGCAACAAATGAACCAATCACAGGAAGGGTCTCCATGCGCATCAACATACCGACCCAGTGACAATGGCCATCAGTTCTAGAATAGTGAAGAGATGTTTATGTGGTAATTCTGTGTAGGCAGTGAATTCAGATGAGACATGAAGGCAAACAGATGGAAGAAGATGAGTTTGGATAACAAATACTTGATGAATAAGACCTCTTACCTCATCGTCCTCATGCCACTTCCCCAAATCATTCTCATCCACTGGAACTCTATCCACTCTATTCAATCTTAACGATGACTTTCCCTCCGAGGAAACTTTCTCGGAGAACTTTGTTCTTACAGGAGAATTACCACGCCTAACAGTCCTGCGAAAAGCAAGCTTTTGTGAGGAATATCTTTCTTTGTCCGGAAAAATGTTCGAAAAGAAGTTCCCCATCCAGGCTGGCCAACTGGGATTCGGCGAATCGTAAGGAGTGTCTCTGGCAGGACGGCTTGGATCCCGACCGCTAAGCCTGGATGAAGTCTCAATTTGTGAGAAAAGTTGATATTTTCTTGGAGGATCCGCTTCAAGCTTCACATATCGATCAAAACCATAAACTGTCTTCTCTTGCTCCACATCCACACCCGAGTGATGTGGTAGCTCTGCTGGAGACATATGAGAAACTTTGTTCCAAACAGAAGAGCGAGAAGGATCATCCGAACTATTTTGAGCCAGAACATCTAACCCTGAACTCATACTAGGCAGTGACTTCGCATTACTTGGACCGTCTCCACGAAGCACTTGGCCATCAAAGAGAACCAGCCTGTCAAGCAAATTATGATTGTTTTCCTGCTGCTCTTTTGACGTTGGAAGGGAACGGTTACGGGGCCTCCTCACAAAACCATCATTTTCAGAAATCTTGAGAGGTCCCTGTGGCCGACCAGACTGGGTGCGTAGAGTTTTCCTCGTAGACTCGCGTAAATTCACATCATTCCGCCAACTCATAACTCGTCTCCGAACTGGCTGGCCTTGTGGCCTCCCGAATAATGCGATCCACACTTTAGCAATACTCGATAGTACGACAATGCCTATGAGAAATAGACCGACCCGCCCAGAGACTGAGGACAACTGAGGCGCCGAAGATACTGACGCCATAAAGTCTGCGATCAAGAGAGAATGAGACAATATCAAGCGGAAACTCTATAAACAGACTGTACTGTTGTATCAAATAAATAATCACAGAAAATTTTGCAGCCCGAATTCCACATGCGACATCACAAACCAGTCATGTCCGTGCTACCGGGCAGTGTTTTTGAATACCACAGCTGAACCGCTCGACGAGCATGATGCCCACTGTGCACCATCTTGCCGGATATACTCTTGGCAAGAGGCCAAATTTCAGAAAGACGAGAAGAAGATTTCGAGGACCCTTTCGTACCAAGTTTCTGTAGCCCACAACAACCCGATGAGGTTGTGAGTTTAGAATCAAGCGTCAAAACACCAAAGAAACTTTTCGTTGGTCGAAAAAGTATAAGAGCTACAACTTGAAGCTTATTGAACCAGCATACCACACCTCTTCTCTTAGTTTTAGCAGACAATTAAGTTCCAAAAGCTTTGCTGTAGTGAACAAGCACTCCAGCAATCTCAACAAAATGCTGTAAACACACGACTTATAAATGAAAATATCTGAAGATTCCGTGACCAGCCAAACCAGACGTGTGTGTGATACAATAGAAAAGTGAATCAGCGTACTTCAACAGTATCAAGTCGATACGATTCAGGTTGGAGATGTTTCCGCAAGGCCTGTTGAGAATGGAATCCCCAGACACCAGAACTTGGTACTCCATGGACTGTATGGAACTCTTGCAAGGCTCTTGTTGTTTCTGGGCCAAAATACCTGTAACAAAGTCCAAAGGTAGCAGGTTATGTGGTGCAAACGTAATATCACTTCGGTATTACATTCTACGTGGACCAGAAAGACGGGAACTAGCGATATTAACTAAATTGTCAATAAAAGAAAGATGTATACGGACCCCTATAAGAGCAGAACGTTTCCTACGACTAACAAAATTTGCTGCACTCAGGCAAGTGATTCCTCGGGAGTGTGGGTCCACAACTACTACTCCTTTAGCAAGACTAGAACATGCACATATACATGAACTTGGCAAGAAATGAGTGAAACTTCAAAGTTTTACCCAGTGAGTGAAAGTCCCGGAAGATGACCCAGCCAGAAAAGGGCCCTCTAACATCACAACCACAGTCCCACGATCAAGCGTGTAAGTTAAAACCAAAAACCGGCAAAGTGCTTACTAATTATGGAGACAACAGAAGAATCAAGGTGTCGTCGTTTGCATGACGCAACCATCGTCATGCGAACTTTTATTACATGACGTGGTTTTGACGAACCGATAATGACATTGAAAATGACAGGCCGACTTATAAAAAAGAAACTCATTAAATATATTATTTATTGACGGAATCCGACTGACTCGGACAAGACCTTTCCAAAAGACTAAAAAGGTACCTGCAAGTTTAATACTTGTGGGCCGGAATCCCCTTCCCGCAGATCTCCGGAAAATCTCAGCTCCTCAATTTTCATCAATTCACTTTTAGGAATATTAAGAATTGGTTGTCTGGCAATCAGTCTACTAGAGTCCCCAGCCAGGTCAGTTATTTGATCCCCTGGCCTCTTAATTCTACCCGTTATGTTTCCCTCCGTGATTTCTTCTCCGCCCTCTTCAATACACTGGACATCGCGTCCATCTGAAGGTCGACTACCTGTTGCACCCTGTGAAGCTTTTCCCAAGTGCTTTTCGGATCCCTGCAAGCTATGTTCATCTGGTAGAATTCTTCCTGATCTGCTACGGTCGTTCTTGTGCAATCTAACTCCACCTGCATGACCCTCTCTTTGACCTCTGTATCTTTCCCGGTTATCGTCTCTGTTGGTGTAAGCATCAACAACTCCGCGTCTAACATCCGCACCAGCAAGTAGTCTTTCCGAAGCCCTTTCCGAATCTAACGAAAATTCCTCCCTTCTTTTTGTGGAATCAGAACTCTTCCTGTAGGAGCAAGTCACACCACCAGTAATCACCAGCTTATGTGATTCTTTTCGAAGTCTTCTCTGTCCAGCCCTGGCAGAACCTCCTCCACTGCAGTACCGCTCAGAGGTTCTGTTTCTAACAAAACTGCCACAGGATTTTTCTAATGACCAAGGTAGCCCCGGAGACACTAACCCATGGCCACAGGAATACCGAGCAGAAGAGCAAGAAGAAAGGTGAAAAAGCGGAAGGGAGCAGCCCCCCGTCGGGACCACTGTACTTTGGCCGTCCATGGAATGTACATCCTTCTCAAGATAAAGCGGGTGGTAGAGTAATCTGCGAAGATTGACACAAGCAGACAGTTTGGAGATGCCTGAGTTTAGCTAAACATTCCAACAACAGCTTAAAACCTCTACCTCTTCATACAACATAACACTAGAGGAGACTACAGCATTTGTACCCATTCCCCACAACTCGATTTTCGCCTTCCACAATCATTTTCTACAAGCAGAACCAAGCGCTCCGCGCGAGAACATTAAGAAGTAATTTCTACCTTCATCTCAGACTATGGAAAGATTTCAAACTTCTTTCAAGCACCGTGAAAACTCGCAAATCATGTCCAGACACATGGTAAATGTCCACTCACCGAAGTCTCAATCAATGCATGACCACCAGGTTTGCCCATATCTCCGCCCCTGCGCTGCTGTATCGAACAAGCACTGGAGGACCTCAACTACCCTGATCCTGAAGCAGGTCCGCCTGCTTTTGCTACCTCGCGACTACAATCTGCTAGTATCACCCCAAGCCCGAAAGCCGGTTCCTCCGTCCTTCGAAGAAACCTCGCGAACAAGCGATGCTCACTCACTCTCAACGTCGAGAGTACACTGGAAAAATCTCCTCACAGCATCTCACTCCCTTGCTCCCTCATCTTCGGCGAGAAATTATAGACACAACGGCGCGGCTCGAGCACACTAAACAAATCCACACATTTCTATCACAATCGGCTGCACGGCGTTGCTCTATTCTCTTGTCGTCGCCCCGCGGCTTCTGCCAGTGTGCGCCTGGCACTGCCTGCGACTAAGAATCCTCCTAACGCAGCATGACTCCTGGCATGTCGCCTCGTGCTCCTCTCATCGTCCCATCCCTCTCTCCAGTCCCGATGCACTTCTACCGCTTCCCGTTCCCCGTTGCCTCCCTCCTTTGGCTTTTCCCTTTCTTTGCCTGGATCCATGGCAGGATCCCGCGCCAGCCCTCCTTTCACTTGCTCGCTACCTCCAACGCCCTGCCACTCCAAGGAAGGTGTAGAAACGCGCAAAAATGTGTTTTCAATATTATTTTCTATTTGCGAGGGAAAATAGCAGACCGACAGATCGCCACCATACGAACCATCGGATATCCGGAAGACTCTTCGAGGCGTGGGGTCCACGATCCATTGGGTCTGGACTCTGGATCCGCTGGTTGTCAAGATAAGCGATGCCTTATAGCCACTGGCCAGCCATGGTCAATGACATGTCCCCTTCTCGTCTACTTCAGCTCTTTATTATGTATAAGATTTTACTTCTTCCATGGTTTCGTCTACCGCGGCCTGGAGATATTCGTTGGATGTTCACCACTGTGCAAAAAGTGCATTTCACGTGTTCGGAAACCATAGTGATAACATGACTCGGACCCTATCAGATATATAATGGAAAACATACCTCAGATCACCTAAAATATACAAACTATGAAATATCAACAAATATAATTGTTCTTTTATGGATTGTCAATGTTTTAGATACGGTAAGAAACAGCAACATAGATGAATCGTCATACATGCTTCGTATAATTCACTGGACTGTCAATACTAGGAGATAGCTTTCCTGTTCTCTGCCCGCGATAATAGTAGAGGAATCTCGAGTAGTATTTCCCTTCTCCCTTGTACTCCCTCCTCATCCGGTCAATGAGAAGTTAATACAAATTAGGAGGACAAGTCAATTCGGTGTCACAAATACCTTTGTCGCCGAATCGCCGAAGGTTGACATGAATTTGTCTCTACTAACTGCATAAGTCAAAGAATATGCAAATAACACATAGACAGAATAACAATTACGGAAACGTGGAAGAAGTTGAACCTGCCCTAAAATACCTAGGTATGTAAAACGTAATAAAACTTTTTTTATTTGTTTGGGAAATATTCGAATAGAATAACCAGATTGCAATTTTATAATCATTCGTTTATAGCGAACAGTATATCCTGTTGCCATACCAATTCTTCTTCTTTTTCAGGAGCTTTCAAGATTATTGTTGGAACGTTTTTCAAAATAACTGCTATTCTATTCAATCTGTTGGGATCATTGTGTTTCAGGGAACTTTGAGAATTCCACACGATCAATGGGTGCTGTCATGCTGCACATCTCACTCGGAGTTCTTACAATATTAGGCTTCAAAAAAATTCCTCAACTCCTCAGCTTTGATGCCAAGCTAACCAGCTGTAGTAACAACGAGACGAGCGACAACAAACGGTAGCATGGGTGATGAATCTTGGTGGGGTTTGATGCTGAGGACATTATAACTTCCTTTTTTATTAGTATATCAACTTTCAGGTCTTGCTATGACAAGTGTATTTTAGTGGACTCATGTCAAACCTACCTGACCAGATCGTGAATTCTACTGAAACGCTGGTGGTGGCCGAAAACCTTGTAGACTTTTAACCTCTATTGAAATGCAATCTCGTGGCCAAAATCATAAGATTAAAATATCTCCAACCTTGAATTCGATTCTGAAACACTCCATGCTTCTTCAACTACCGCAATGGTGATTACATCCACACTAGGTAAAACTGGATATATTTCTTAGAAGCTTTGTTGCAAAACTATCGGTCACAAGCTACTAAATGGATAAGATTAAAGAGTTTATAAGACTTTAAGTGCTGTTGGCGGTGATATTCATGATTGTGACGAAGAAACTCTTTTCATTTTAAGAATTATCACTTTATGTTCCCTAAAAGATTGTGTTAGCGCAAGATGATTTGGCCAAGATTATGACAGTCTAGTAAGAATCAGTTCTTTCCACCAAGAACTCTAAGGTGATTTATTGTATTTGAAATTTCTCTTAGTGAATATTATTACTACGAAGAGTGTATGCTATCATAAAATTAAATTTTTTTAAAGTAGAAAATAAACTAGTAACACAAATTTTCATCAATATATTTTGTCAGAATATGTAATGCATCTAGTTTTCACTTGACTTTGACAAACAAAAGTACAATAATTGTTGTGTGTGAGAATTTTGATTGGCCGAAAACTTTTGGTATTCAACAAGCATTAAAGATGAAGTCATGTCTCAGAGATGAAGCTGATGTAAAGATTGTGATGCAATAAATCAACATTCATAAAGGTCATGAAAATAAAATTTAATTTTCAAGTATTTGTTATCTAAATCTTATATACCTAAAATAAATATTTTTTTTCAAATTATCTTTTACAAAATAAAATCTTATTATCTTAAATTTTAAATCAACCTACAAATTTATCTTGAGTCCGGTTTTCTAAAATTTTTTGTAAGCAAAAAGCTATTTCAATATATAATTTTTTGAAAATTTGATTAAACATAAGAATTTATACTGGTTGAATTTCACATGATTCAAAATTCCTTTTATAATTTTATATTTTTTGTATTAATGGAAAAAATATATTTGTTCAAATTGATGAAAAAACACATGTATTTATAATCAAATCAAATAAAATGATTATCATGAAGATTCAAACAAAAATATTGAACATACAAATATATAATTAAAGTCTTGATTAATTGCTATAAAAAATCAAATCAAATGCAAAGTGAAAGCAACAAGGTTGTACAAGATGTTGAAGTCTTAATACTTCAAATAGCCAAAAAAAATATTAGAAAAAAAAACTTTGTATATAGTTCTATTGCATTTGCAAATTTTGATTTTAAAGCAAGTGATATGACTAGGCATATGCATTCTCATGTTGACATGTGTGTGAGTGAGTTTGATTAATGACTTTTAACTTTTTCATCTCTCGTAGATGAAAAACGTATCAATTGTTAGCACTCATACTTTCAGATAAGTTAGATTAGCTTGACTCCAAATAACAAACTTGATTAAACTATCATTATGTAAAAAAATCAATGAAATCTTGGCAACACAATTTATGATATTTTAATAAAACCTAAGATGTATTATCAATGTAGCCATCAATTATAATCCATGTATGTATGGTGTTGGTTGTACTTGTGAGTTTGATTTTTATGCTGACATATGTGTGAATGTGTTTGACTGATGCATTTGACTTTTTCATGATGAAAAACATATGAATTATTAAGAGTTCAATCAGTTTAGTTTGATCTCATTTAGTAAAGTTGATTAATCTATCCCAATATAAGAGAGCTTACATAAACTTTTTATTTCGCTTTCTGAAGATTTTTTAATAAAATCTAAGTTATTTCATAGACGTAACTAGCAATGGTGAAGCACAATTTAGTATGACTATGCATGAACATTTGTGTGTTGACACATGTATGAGTTTGTTGCACCAATGACATATGTATGAATTTGACTTCATTTTTCTGTCAAGACTATAATATACCAATAATATACAAAACTTCATAATATAAGCTTATCACATAACATGCATAGAGTTGAATAAAAGTTTTGTGAACAATGTTATGAACAAGTATTATGTGCAAGTCTTTAAATTTGATATCATAGTTTCAAAGAATTTATTATATTTATATATAATTAGGTATGAATAACCTATATTAAAATTTAATTTCTATAAAATTAAGATATGTATATATTGTAAATGATAATTTTTTTATTTTTTTAATTATAATTTACACATTGCAAATGTTCACAATTGTTGCAAATTTTTACACATATGCCTAAAGAAACGTATTGATCTCATGTATTGTATATCATAAATAAAAGTTTGATAAGAAGATCGAGGTAGTGAAAATTGATGCTACACTCATGTGCATTTATTTTATGATCAAATTTTACTTTTTAAAATAATATTGCAAACATTTTGCTACTTTGTAGGATATACATAAAGAACACAATTAAATTATACTAAATAATTTATATGATCTCTCTATATTATCTTATGCTACATTCTATCTTGTTTTGGTTACAAAATATTTATGATTAGTTTACAAAAAAATATGGGGATGGTTAGTTATACCTCAACTGGAGCTAATTAGAACTCACCCTACTATACGGACGCCGGTCATTGGTGCAATCGGGCTATAGGATCCTTGTGGTAAAAAGTAAATTTTGCGAGTTCTAGTCTTTCTAATCGAATTCAAAGATCCCATGGAATCAAAAGTTACAGAATAATCCTGACTGTCAACTCCGCGTTCAAATAGCCACAATAATGGACTCAATTGTGCGTCTTATACATATATCTTCAAACACGTTGAAATTTCTCTTGTCTAAAAAAGATTTGATGTTTCAGTGACGATAAAAGAGCACATAATTTCTCAGTAATCGACTAAGCGTTTGATAAAATTATTCGTATGCAGCAAGTTATTTGAATTAGAAAATACAATCATCCAATTGCATGAGGCTGCAGACGGTGGAACATGATCAATTGCATTAGCGTCTCATGTACTCCAAGAAATTCACCCAATTGGAACAACTTTCGGAGAAAAATTTGTTCCAAGATAGAGTCACACTTGAAAAACATAAAAATCTCATTTTTTGGAGATATTATCGCATAATACACAAAACCATACAAATCCAACTCTACGTTAGAACTAACGTCGAATTGCCCCATACACTTCCGCCGAAGAGCTCATGTGGATTAAAACGATTCCATGAGCGACTGCACTTCTCTTAAACTTGCATTAATAGTCACAACTCAAAAAATGATCTTTGCTCGTTACTTGATTTATGCATATGATTCCATCGACAAGTACAAGTGAAAAATTGAGCTCGCTCAAAGCAAAAGCATCGACGCATTCGCATTGAACACCGATGTCTAAACATCACTTGTGCTGACCAAAAATTTGCATCAATGAGCACGTTTTTTGCTGCAATTAACCTTGACGTGGCTACTCAAACGCGGAGGTGGTAGCAAGACTTCTTTTGTGGCTTTTGACATCATGGCATATTTGACATCAATTAAAAAGTCTATAACTCGCGAAGTTTACTTTTTATCACACGGATCATCTAGCCCGATCGCACCAATGACTGGCGTTTGTATAGTATGGTGAGTACTAATTAGCCTCAGGTGAGTGATAACTAGCCGCCACCAAAAATATATGTCAAATTTTGTAATATACAGAAGAATTTATGTAGATACATTTTTTTATAGCATTCCCAAAATCTAAAACTTGAGTCTATAATGATTATATTATTAGTAAGTTAAAATATTTTGATAAGATTTGATTAGTTTTTTTAGATTAGATATATTTAAAATCCATTTGGTAAGATTGAAATTAGTACCTTAAGGGGCTTATCAATCTTTGTTAATATATTACAAGTTGTAGTAAGATCGGAAGTTGCACAACAACTACATTTTCATCTTCATTGAGACATAATCATATTATCTTAAACAAAAAATTAGTATTTTTGTAAATGAATTTTTTGTGTATTTGTGGACATAAAATCATGAAAAAGAGATTCGTTTTATTTATGTGAGATGTTTTTGTTTGTAATTTTCTTCCAACAGAATGAATTCTCAGCTATTGAAAGCGACTAATTTTTTTTGAATTTCAAAGTTTTGATTTAGAATTGACACAACTAATTTACATGAAAAAATGTATGCATATAAAAAAATGTTGATTTAACTCATTGATATTGATTTATTCAACAAACAAAAAATCTAATGTGTTATGAACATATCTTTTATATAGTAGTGTGAGCATTGGTTAAACTAATCAACATCTTGTGGACAAACTACAATCAAATTAATGTATAAAATCACATATAAAGCCTTGAATATATATTTGACATAATTTAATATTATTTTTATGGTTTGATTTTAAGAAAACGTTGATTGACTTGATAATTGATTTTGTAATCAAAATTGTATAAGATGTATTGGAATTTGGCTAAATAGTCCAATATATATGTGAATACTTATAAATATAATATTCAGAGGTCAAAGAAATTCAAAAATTAATGTTCAAATTATTAAATTGAATATTAAAAATAATTTTTCAAAACTATGAAATTAAAAATTATCATATGTTATTGTTTGATCTCAAATTTGATTCAATCACAAGATGTATATATGGTAATTTTGTTTACTACCACCGGGTTCTCGTTGCCAGAAGAACATGTGGTCCGTCACATAGATAGATATATTGATCCCCATGATACATTAACATATTTGGTAAACCAACCTTCTTCTAAACAATGTTACACACATAATTATCCGTTTTAACAGAAGATTAAATCGGTTAGATTGTGCTTATAAAGAGAAAATTTATAAAAAATGAGGTATGTTAATATCATCTTGCATATGGATTGGACTGGTAATTCATCTTCTCCCTTGATCAAAGAGCACCACAAATTTATTGCCTTAGTTGTGGTTAGTCGTTTTCTACTTCCATAAAGATTCGGTATACTGTAGACACTACCACCAGTCATGAAAGCTTTCCCACTTTGACTGCATGGCAACGGAGGAGTGGGATGGCCACGTTTTGCAGTATGAACTTCGGTGTAAAGATGACTTATGTCGACACATAGGAATCCAATTGCAAAATCAGCTAGGCCAGGTATCAAATGATAACTGAGAATGTTACATCTTATTTTGATTAAATCAATGTCATTAGTCAATACTGCAATGTGGGTTTAACCATGAGGGTGGAATATTACCTTAATTCAAATACAGCTGTGGTGGTCTATACTACAGCATCTGCACCTGGGTGTTCATGAAGGAGAGTAACTGCAGACCTAGAACCTTATTTGAAAACCCCCTGAGTTTTATTAGGATGGGAATCACTTAAATTGAACTTCTGATCTTTGATGATAGTTAGATTGGAGTAAATGACTGGGCTGTTGTTGACTCTTAAAAGTATTATTGGCGTAATGAACAGATATCCAAGGATAAGAATATCAAATCATTAATTTCTGTTTACATAAAGGAAAAATATGTAAAGATAATAAGGTAAGATTAATCTGAAAATACATTCTAATCGTAGATATTGATTTTCATTGCAGACAATTTAAGATATAAATTATCCATGTAGGATCAGACGCTTACTTTATATGCCGTGTGAGCGTTTAAACAAGAAACATGTCAATGTCATAGGGTATGACATTGACATTTTTTACATGGTATATGCCATGTGCACTGCAAAACCTTTTCCTTATTTTTTAAGGGTTTTTTCATATGTTGGGTGTGGATGTCGCATCCTGAACTTACGTTGCAACCACCAGCTACGTATTCTAAGAGAAAAGACGGATGGCCTGCTCACAGAAGATTCTTGACCCTAATGAGAAGAGTTGAAACATTTGCTGCTACTTCTCTACGACCCTAAAGAAGACTAGAGAGCCGAGTTGGGAAGTCGATATTCCTCTCGCACTCTTAACATAACATTTACACCACATCATATGTTCTCAGTTTAGACCTCTGCTAAATTGGAGAGTGCTATATCGCTTCTTGGTTCAACCTTTCTTTGGACTTTTGTCATATGTGATCAGATCACGGAAATCGTGTGCCAGTATCCTAAATGTTAACACAAATCATGGCTGTCACATCTCAGTTTAGACCTCTTGTTGGCCTGCAGCGGCAGATGTGAAGTAGGTTCACATTCAAAGTAACTGTTTCGAATCACTTGTCCGTGCGGACGTTTCTGCATATTAAAACAATACCACATTTACCATTCGGCTGAGCCAAACAACACTGGATGTCGTAGACATAATCTTGTTACCCAAATTCATCGATAGATATTTCAAAAATGGCTTAAAAGTAGTATGACAGTGAAAGAGTATACAGCACTTCCCTAAAATGCTTTCTCTGCGACCTCCAGGGCATCGCTTGCTCTTCGCAAAGATGCTCATGCTGTGAATAAAGCGAGCGAGGAGATTGCGAAGGTTCAGAACTCTTCCACCAATGAGGGCAGAATGAGGATATTCGATAGACAAGGATAAACAATGAAGGAACAAGATTGAGCATGTTCGCTTCGAACACGGAGAAACTTTACTTTCTCCAATATTTTGGGCTTGGCAACGAATATAGATTACTCTTTCCTGCATGAAGGCAGTCGTTCCATCATCGCAACCCGAGCTTGACTCAGATGGAGAAACTCTGATAGTTGTAGTTCTACTTGCTACTGCTGCAGGCAGGCGACACAGCTGTGTGCTCCAGTGAGCTGACATTCATGTGCTTTTGGCCAGATTTTGTGAGCTGAGGTGGCTGGAGTTTTCCCAAACTCCAAACCCCATTTCTCTTTTTCCGTGTGACTGTGTCTCGTTGTGCTCAAGTTCTCTAAGACAGGTTCCGCTGACTCTAGCCGTTTGCCTGCACATTCTCAGCTTTTTTGTTACCTCTTCAAAAAATTCTACACCTCCACACAAAGCTTCGACTCTACTGGGTTCAAATCTTTTTTCATCTTCTTCTCCGTTCTGGGCCTGGTTCTAAGCGAGAAGGACATTGAGATCTGACTCGGAGGAGGAAGACATTTGCAGACGAGCAAATAGGGTTCGTAAAAGGAATGCCTTGCTTCAGCATTTGATTCTCCAGATTCCAATGACAAAGGGAATCCGATTAAATTCATGACCAGCCGCAATTGGCGCAGAGTCGAACCTAATTGACAGTTTTCCTCAAGAACTACTCGCTAGTCATGGTAGATCAGCTATTAAATTTTTAATCTTTCATCTGCGCCTGAAAATCTCTAGATTTTGTGGCACCCCATATTGGATGGCATTCTGAGAGATAATTACAAGCCCTAATACATCAGGAGGGCATCAAAGTCCTGACCCGCTCACAAGTCGTAGATTACACTCCAGCCTCCCGCCATGTCAGCATTCAGTGTCCAGTTGTTCTCCCTAATCTGGAAATATGGTTTCTGAACGAAAGAATTCAAGTCGGGATGATCAGATTCATATATAGCACATTGTAGTACAAATCAGAACCAGCTTTGGTAACTCTGACCAGCAAAACACGATGTACAAACTGCTGAGGTGAGCCTTCCCGGTCACATCATGCTTGTACATGCGAGGAAAATCTGGTTGAATCCACCAAAGGAGTGCAGACTTTTAGTGTGGACGGAAGTGGGTGCAAAGACGAACCTGCTTAACAAGGTTGTAGCCTGCTTTGATTTTCAAGTCTTGATCCTCAGTAAAATTGAAAATCTTGTAGCTCAACTCCACAACTCCCCGGGGTTTTCCCTGGTACGTGGAACAATAAAGTTATTCAATCTCTTTGACGATCCTAAAATGATGTCATAAAAGGAAACCGTTTGCTTGATAAAATAAATTGCCGGATACTCACCACCTTGGTTCCGGGATTGAAGTTGTAGCCTCCTTTCAAGTCAATGCTCAGCAACCCGTTGTCAGTAAGAGGAAGAGTCTTCTTTCCTTGGACGTCATAAGTAATTTCGTAAGGCTTAGAGTCAAACTTGGCCCCAACGTCTAAGCTCGTCAGCAGCTGAAAATAAACTTTCACAATCAATCTTTGAACAAAAAGTCCTTTGACTACTGAGACAAGAACAAGAACAAGACCAACTGAGTAGATAAGACTTCATCTCAAGTGGACAACGTGTGCCTGGAACGTAAACGAAACACAAACTCAGTCTTACATCCAGCAGATGTAATTAATACACGTTTCTGCACTCAAATACCTCCGGGAAGAATTTCTTCTTCACTTGAGTTATTCCACTTGCAGCTCCTGTGTGCGTATTGAGCTTTCCGTGAATCTAGAAAAATGGAAGAACACAATTAAGTGAGAAGTTACATACATAAATGAACCATCCATGACAACAGCTCAACGGTCACCACACAATATCAGGACCTGGCGCAATGAAAGACAAGTAGAAAAGACACGGTTCATTAAATATCAGATCATTAGTTGGCGTAGTGTATGTAGCGAATAGAGAGTCACCTCTTTCGCAATCAGCAACCAAGAGTAATCTACTCAGCTTGCAAAGCAGAAAATTTTCTCTACTACGTTAATAGGTCGAAGCTATGTATCACTCGAGAATCTCCATTTCTCTTACACTTGCGGGTTGTTATGCACATGCTGTTCACCAACCAAACACCATTGAAAGAGCTACGAAGAGAAAACTCTGAGGCAAGGGCCCATGATTATACACGTAAGAACTTACAGAGACAAACCAACCGGCCGATTTGTCAATGCGAACGAGAATGACTAAAAGAAACAGCCGAATTTTCTTTCCTGTGTGACGTGTATGAGTAGGAAATAGATATACAGAGATCATCGATGCTCTGTCAGGGCAGAATCTGGATACGAATGAGCTCCAAGAACACAAGAGAAATGCCTGGCTTTCACTGAGTCAAAACATGAAGTATACCAGCCAGAGAAAAAGCAAGACCAGTATACATTCGTCCCCTTGAAAGCTCCCAAGGGTGAATTATGGCCACCAAATTAACCACCAACCTGAAGATAGAACGATTTATCGAGCAGAAAGTTCTCTTTCGCATGCAGCAAGAGCTGCTTCTCTTCCACGCCATATCTCAACGAAGTCTCCATCGCTCCCTCTTGCCCCGCTGAACCAACCTTCCCAACGTTCCTTCCCTCCTGACTTGCTTCAGCCCCACCTTTCCGTCGTCTCAACAATCTAATCCAAGAAAGTGTCTGTCACAGGGCAAAAGAACACCGACGGATGAAACTTGGTGGAACATGAATAGACTGGTTCAATCCCACCTCTCTGCGCGACTCGCTGGTCTCTCCACACTGGAGACAGAAGAGAATGTGCTACCTCGAGCACAATCCGATCTGTGACTGTTCTCGAGACAGGACGATATAGCTAGAACTCGACAATTTCATCCAGCACCTCAAGCTCAAATCCCTGCCTGTCCCTCCTCTACCTCGTGCTTTCCGCTAATGATAAGGACCAAATCCCAACTGTACTAAGTGGTATCGCCGTCTCTTCTGTAGAAACAAATCCTCATTTTAGTTTTTGAATCTTCCTCCAGTTGCTTCGAATAATGTGAGCAACTGTAAGGCTTCACGAAGAAGTGGTCATGAAGAATCACATTTTAGGTGTGACATTGAAATTTGTACGTGGTTGTAACTATCCACTAACCTTTACTTTAACAGACTATCGAGTGCTATTCATACGAATAGATCCAGAACATATTTTCCATGATGCTATGTGGACGAGCCCCACCCTAATGTTGTTGTTTTCGACCATGTACTAACTCGATGGGGACTTCCATCCAATTTTGCTATTCGACAGTACTCGCTCCGTTTCTTTCGTACTTTCCGATAACGGAGAGTTTTCTTTCTTATGTCTGCTTCAAATTCCATTGCGTTTTGTATTTGGCTGATTGTTGCGGAGAACAATCTCATAAAATTAGCTTTGATGCTGAAGACAAAGAGTCATCACAAAGTAAGTGACTAGTCATTACAGATTGGTTATCAATTAGTTTTTAAAAGTAATTGATAATGTTGAAGATGTAAAGATGATTATCATTGATTCATAGGTAAAAGATAATAAGCAGTTTGGATTATTTTTTTGACCATTTTGACTTTACAAAGTATGTGAAAAATTTAAAAATCAAAATTTAAAGAAATAAAAAATTTTAATCATGTTTTTTTATTGTTGAATTTGTAAAAAAAATATATTTTTAGCAATAAAACAAGTGAAATTGTTAGCAAATCTCACGTATTATGTTACTTAATATATTTCTATGTGTAATAACAAAAAATTATCAAAATGGAACATAATGGTAAAAATTCTATTCCACGTAATAGAAGCAATTCAAATTACCAAATATTATCACAATTGAATAGCATGTTGGGAAGTTTTACTTCTTAGGCACATGTCACTCCCAGAAAACGCTACAAGTGCTGAGTCCAAAGGCATCATTTGCAGGATGAAACCACACTCAAGCCTGAATTTCATCCAATAAGACCATACAGAAGCCACACGCGACTCTGCAATTGATATTCAGAGGTGAAAATTTCCAAGATTACACACTCAACCGGCTACACCAAGCTTCCAATGTACAGAATTATTTAAATCCTTAGCTACATTATGCATCACTCAGAACATCCGAATTGGACTCTCTACTTTAGATGCGGTATCTTTGAAAAACTGAAGCAACTCGCGCAGGATGACAACACGCACAATTCATAACGCGTGGAGGAATGCAGACTGAAAACTCAGAAAATAATAAATGGAAAAGCTTCCCGAAGGCAGAGCCTTGGATCTCTTTATTCCTAACTAACACATGGAGACATCACTCATTGTGACACAAGACCCTGACAGGCGCAAACGCTAGCCGACTCGACAGTTACCATGCTTGCAGAGTTACTATCTACTCCTATCTCATTCAAAGTGGCTGACAATTCTAATTTGAGATTCTCCTTTGACTCCTCCAAACCGGAGATGAACGAATTGAACTTGCTATTTGATTGCCGCTGCTGAGCTACACTACTAGCTATCAACTCCGTCACTCGGCGCTCTAGCTCACCCAATTTCGTCCACTTAAGAGTCTGAATTTCCCACACCACATAACCACAAAGCCATCGGTTTTCCTTCGCGCACAACCCAACATCTATCTAACCCGCTAACTGCTAGATTGTCGCCTCCGTCTCCAGTTATTTCGCTTTGGTCGTGATCAATTGCTTGTCAACAGCTGACACTTGAAATTCGTTGCAATCTACACCCATTTTTTCCCTTTGCTCTAACTTCACAATCCTCCAACTTCTTTGACTTTGCCTTCAATTCAGCAGCGTGCACCTTCTAAGCATTGATGAGGTCGACCTGAAGACCCACATACTCGAACTCCACCTTCATATAAAGGTCCTTGTCCACTGCAATGGTATATGATCCTTCTCCACTGCGCAATTGGCCACGGTCAATTGCGTAGAATACTTACGATAGTCGTTCAGAGAGAGAGTACTCATTATAATTAGGATTTTTAGATCATTTGCAGGTCTGGATTGTGACATTTCATGAACTGTCTTGTTCTCTTACCATGTCCGGCAGATCCAAATTGAAGGTATTTTTCTTTGCTTTTTGTTTGATTACAAGAGTTGTGCAGTGGCTGATTGATGTCGCAGCTGAGTGTGACATTGAGTTACGAGCTTTCACTTTTAGCTTATTTATCATTGATGCATTAATGTGGACATGAAAATTCCTTCCAAAACATGGCTCGTGACGACTCATTGCGGTTTGTCTCCTAATCTAGAGAAAGCTGCAGTGCCTGTCATCCAAGAATGCAACATGATGGACAATTCAGCGCTTACCGTCTCCAAAAGTCCATCTCCCTCCATGTGCAAATCTTTCAGGTCTAGGTGATCTCTCATCATTGCAAACTGTTCAGTTCACAGAATAATTTCGGATGCTTCTACCGAAATCTTCAACTCCTTGTCGACAACTTCGGAATCTGATCACACACTCTATGATTGATTCCGAAAGTCTTTGTCTATGCTTTACTCCATGTATTTTGTTTATTTTTTTGAAGCTTAAATATGTTTTAACATGTCTTCTTCTATCCATGCAAATAATTTGAGGTGCAGCATGATCGACCTTACTTTCGTTGCGGATTCAATCTCATACTTCTTTTATAGTACACATGAAGAATCTATCGCTCTCTCTCTCTCTCTCTCTCTCGGACAGCGACAACATCCACTGGTCGTAAACGAAAGGTAAAATTCTTTGCAAGTTGGATTTGGAATCATTTCAAATTGATGAAAGATTTCAATAAAATTCCTTATCATCTATCTTGAGCTCATAGATTCTCAGAACAATTGATGCACTACCTCATTCTCGGCCAAAACTGAAACAAGCTTGTTGTCTCGTCATCTCCTAGTAAAACACAATATCTCAAGAAGTCAAAAATCAAACGATCCTCCGCAAACTTTTTTTGGTGTGAATGGTGAACTGCAAGATTCCTATGAGTTGGACAACGAGTCCAAAGAAGCCAATTTTAATGCCTTGGTTGCATTTGTGGTGGATCACCAACAAGCGTTAAACTTGATCGAGAATAAGACATTTCAATCATTTCGCCAACGTTTCAACCTCCTTTACTCACTACTATCGCCACAAACTTTAACACGTTCATTAACTCAACATTTTGAATGAGCATTACTACAATTTTGTTCAACAATTTTGTTCAACTTTAGATTCCATCAATGTAGCGATTGCTCTCACTCTGGACTGTTGATCGTCTCCCGTTATGCGTGACTATATATGATGATTACAGTTCATTGGATTTATGAATAGTGAAAACTTCAATATATCGTGCTAGAATTTTGCTATTTTTCAACTTCACACAATCAACTCACTACGTTGTACTTGATTCTTTCATTGGTGTAAGATTTCAACATGTGATCCAAGATCAAGGTCGTTACATCCGACAACGGTGAAGAGATGACATCTGCCATGACCATTGTGAGACAGTATCTTAATGATCAATACTCTCTTCGGTTGAAGAATGATATTCATATCCGATGCATTTGTCATGTCATCAATCATGTTGTATGTGATGCTACACATTTCATCAAAAAAGAAGTGCAAATGCTCCGTCAAATACTCAAAGCTGTTCGTGGATTCGTTGCCATCCGCGTCAAGTTTTCAGAATTGACTTTTGTGCTGAGCGTTTCCAAGGGCCGTGTTGAATTCCAGGTCAGGATATGGAGACGCGTTGGAATACCATGTTCACTATGATAGACCAGTCGATTCTGTATCGTGATGTATTTCCAGCGCTCTGTAACTAAGAAGAATTTGTGATCGATTTGCCAATATGGGTTTGTGTGACATGGATTGACGTGTTCTCAAATTACGCAAAGACTTTCTGCAATCGGAGTATCATTGCATTGTCGCCGCTAGTGAACGTGGCTACGTTTCACTTTCTCTTTTGCTTCTGATCTACAAGCATCTCCTTACCTTGTGTAAAAAAACCAGTCTTGGACTTTTAGACACATGATTTACCACTTTGATAGTCAAACAAGGTGCTACTGCCATGAAGTTGAAATTGCTTAAATATATTGCAAATCTAAATTGTCAAGACTCCAAAATGTCTTTGCTTCTTGGCCCTAGAATAAGTAATGATTCCTTTGAAACGATGGAACTCAAAAATCAGATTTAATTCATTTTGACGGTGGATTAGGGCTTGTGTTTGGAGGAGCAGCCATCTCCAAATTTTGATGTATTTAATCTATTTGCTGGAGAGGGAAACATTGCCATTGAAAACGTTGCACACATTGACGAGGTCGATGACTTCTTCATGCTCACGGCGAAAGCAGATCGTCGCGTGTCTAGTGTACTACTATGATGAAAACAACACAATAATTGTTTCCCTACGTTATACGGAATGACCGGAGACACGTTGATTATTCATGGTTCTCCTGTGGCATCTAAATTGACATTTTTGGATAGTGATGGATTTGTTTGTCCTAATAGATCTAAATTATCAGATGAAAAACATTGAGATAACGATGAAATTGAAAAGTTGGAACCGTTTATTCCAAGAGTAACCTACTCAAAATTAATAAAATTTGGATTGCATACCTCTCTGTTTTTGAAATAAATTTGGCTTATTCCGAAAGCAACATACTAAAAATTAGTAAAATTTGAGTTGCATCATACAATGCTTTTTTGAAAATTTCAATTTATTCCAAAAACAAACGACTCAAAATTAATACCTTGTGTATAGCATTATTGGCTTTTTAAACCCTAAAAAGGTAAGGGAAAAAGTGCAAGTGCCGAGAGAGTCTAGCCGGAGCGCGAGCACGCGAAGCATGGTTAAGAATGCGGAGCGGGGGCTGGAAAGGGTCATGGAGAGCCTGTTTTCACTCGATGGGGATCGTCGAGGACGCTAGAGC